AGACGTTGACCAATTCTCTCAAAAGTTGAGAACGGGTTGCTTCAATGCCAAGCACATCAATAATCTGCCAAAGATCGTTGCAAGCCGTCCTTGTAGCGTCGACACCGGGAATAGCGAGCACTTCTCGCAGCGTCGTACCTTCGGTATCGAGATACCATTCAGTGCATCGAGGATCATCCTTGATGGCGATCTGGGCACCGTCCGGCGTAGTTGAGAGGACAAGCTTCACGGTAAGGAAGGCCTTCACAACACCCGGCACACCGCGAAGAGTTAAGGTGTCAAGCAAGTGGGCTTCTAGGCGCTTCAGAACTACATCTTCCTCAATCATCTTCTCGCCATCTTCATCCTTGTTATCGTCCTTTCGAATGGGTCTCACGCGGATGACCTGCTCGTCGGCGTTGTTGTCACTGAAGATGATGGCCAAATCACCTTCGTATTCCTCTTTGATGCGCTGGGCAATGTCTTCAACCGTGATACGCTTGTCCAGCATCTTCTGTCGATCCAGGCAAATACGAAGCAACCATCTCGATTGCTGGTCTGCGGTAGCGTGACTCTCATCGGGAATCATCCAGTAAGCTTCGACCAGATCATAATCCTCATCGATTGTGGTCTCATGCAGATTAGGATCGTAGTGAATCTCAGTGTATGCGACAACTGAGCGGAGGTTCGCGTACTCGACCTTACTTCTCAAGTCTTGGGCTTGCTCCTTGGTAGCCAGTGGCCTATCGAGGTAGACCTGCATGGCAGGGGTCTTGATGTTGCTAGCGAGATTCAGAATCTCCTTGAGACGAGGTACACCCAGCGTAACATTCTTCGAAGACACACCAGCAAAATGGAAGGTGTTCAGCGTCATCTGAGTAGCAGGCTCTCCAATGGACTGGGCAGCGAGGACACCAACCATCTCACCAGGTGAAACGAACGCGCGATCCCATCTGCTTTGGAGCTCGCCAATGATATGATCAAAGGCGAACTTGTTCAGCCGATGAGTCTTGATCAGTTCCTTGAACGCGAGGCGCGATCGGATGAGAGCCTTGAAGAGAATTGTCGCGTTCGAGTCAGCTTCCTTGGAAATTGGATCTTCGCCTCGAACAATGACAATCTTGTTCAACAAGTTCTGTACCGCAGTGATTGTTTCCACAGGGCGCAAATTGCTTCGATCAGTAGCCTTGACGTTGAAAACACGTTTGGCTGATTCGATAATGCGGTTGATGTTCAGAGGAAGCTGCATCATATCTTCGTCCTTCTTATGCCGGTTGATGATTCGGACAAGCCTACGGTCCTCGAGCAAAGCCTCCCACTCAGCATCCAGAAGATCCATGGATTCCTTGTCTCCTGTCAACTCGTTACCATACTCGTATTCCTTTCGGAACCATGCAGGTGGGTTTGCAAGATCAAGGCGGTACTTTTCCGCGAACTTGGGATCTGAAGGGTTGAGGATTGTCATCTTCTGTGCTTCGATGATCATGGCATCGAGACCATCTTCACCATACAGGAACTGAACAATATCACCTAGCGAGTTACGAACAGTTCCGTCATAGCGAGCGCTCAGATCTTCAAGAGCCTTGACGAGACGACGTTGAATATAACCAGTCTCAGCAGTCTTCACTGCAGTATCAATAAGACCTTCTCTACCAGCCATAGCGTGGAAGAAGAATTCAGATGGGGTCAGACCACGAAGGTATGAGTTTTCAACGAATCCACGAGCTTCAGGAGAGTAATCATCCTTGGTGAAGTGCGGCAATGTGCGGTAGTTGAAACCGAAGGGAATACGCTTACCCTCCACCATCTGCTGTCCCACCAAGGCGGACATCTGAGAGATGTTGATGGATGATCCCTTTGAACCAGAACTGGCCATAGTCACCGCATTGTTGGAGTCCTTAAGACTGTTTTGGGTGGTCGTACCAGCCCTATCACGAGCTCTGTTGAGAGCAACACCAACATGATGTTCGAAGGTGGCACGGACACTCATACCGGGCTCAGCTTCAAGCGTATTGTTCGTGGCCTTCTCCGTGATCTCGTCGACCAACTTCTTTTCGCGATTGATATCCATCTGAATCTTCTCGATAGTCGCCTTGTCCGGAATTGTGTCTCCAATACCGATACTGTGACCATTGTGTAAGAGCCAATACGTTACGACCTGCTGGACACCGTTCAAGAACGCCATGGCGGCCTTGGGGCCCAACTCGTTGTAACAGATGTGAATAATACCGCCTGACTGAGCTCCAACAAACTTCTTCTTCATCAACCCATACATGAGCTCTCCTCCCTGGATCAGCACGCTGTCATCTTTCAACAGAGTAGCGTAGCTATCAGAGCCGGCATTGATATTGACCTCGGGGGGAATAACGAGACTAATCATCTGTTTTCCAGTCCACCGGGGGCGAGGCTTGAAGATAGCGGGTTGAGGAATGACACCATCCCAGCCAGGGACCCAGAGCATCAGATTCATAACTTCCTCTTTGGTGAGGAAGACGTCACGACGGCAGAGCTTGTAAGCACCAGCCAATGAGTCCTGCACGATACCCATCAGAGGTGAGTTCTTCTGTGGTGACACGATGTTCAGGGGGACTAGACAAAGCTCCTTGACCTCAGCTCGGGTTTCCTCGCTCTGGGGGACGTGAAGATTCATCTCGTCACCATCGAAATCGGCGTTGTAAGGCGATGTCACAGAGAGGTTCAGACGGAATGTAGAATATGGCATAACACGGACTTGATGACCCATCATCGACTCCTTGTGCAGCGAGGGCTGACGATTGAAGATGATGTAGTCGCCATCCATCAGATGACGTTCAACCTTCCAACCGTATTCCAAAGAGATCTGAGCGGCACGGCGGTGATGTCTCAAGTCAATGCGTGTTCCATCTGATCGAATGACGTACTTAGCACCAGGGTGCTCATTAGGTCCGTTCTCGACAAGCTGGTGCAGCTTGCTGATGTTATATGGGGTGACAGTCTCCGGATATGTCAGAGTTCGAGCAATGCTGCGAGGAACACCAACTTCGTGCAGTGACAGGTTGGCATCACCAGTGATGACAGTACGTGCTGAAAAGTCGACACGCTTACCCATCAAGTTACCTCTCAGACGGCCCTCCTTTCCTTTTAGACGGGCGCGAATGGCCTTTACAGGACGTCCACTCTTCTGCAGAGCCCGGGGCTGACCAGCAATATCATTATCCATGTAGGTAGCTACATGGTACTGAAGCAGCTCCTCGAAATCCCTAGCAATGTGTGCAGGTGAACCTTCACGGATAGCCTGCTTGACGTTGCCGTTGGCTCGAATAATATCGCCAAGCTTGTATGTCAAATCATCCTCATTTCGCATGCCAGTACCCGTGCCGTCCATGGAGATACTAGGACGAACGGGGGGAGGAGGGACTGGGAGGACTGTCAGGATCATCCACTCCGGGCGGGCATAGTCGGAGTTAAGACCCATGTTGCGAAGATCCTGTTCGCAAATGCGACGGAGGATATTATGAGCAAGCTCAGGTGTAATCGGCTGTGTCTCCTTCTTCTTGGGCCCGTCTTCCGTGGCGACCTCGAAGGCAGCCTTCAGCTGAAGTGCTGCCTGGCGCACCTGGGGTTGGACGTTGCCACAGCCGCCGTGGCTTTCTACCTTGGGTTTCATCCCCGGTGCAAACTCCTCGTCCTTGTTCTGGCGCTCCTCGTTCTCGCACCTTCGCTTCTTCTTGCACACCGTCCAAACTCGCTGGAAGCGAACTTTGGGGTCGCGTGTCCGAATAGCGGCGACAAACTCGGGATCGCTCTGCAACATTGTCATTAGCATCTAGAGATCATTCAAATGTCTGAAAAGATTAGGTGAGACCAACTTCATCAGCCAAAACTTTGCTACAGTTGTGGCAGACAATCTCCAAAATCTTCTTGACTTTCTTGATGAAACCTGGGTGGTACACAGGTTTGGCCAGCTCGATGTGTCCAAAGTGGCCGGGACATTCACCCATCGCCTGAGTGCAGGTCTTGCACTTGAACTGGCGATCGATCGAACCAAGAAGAGGGTCATTAAGACCGCCATCACGTGGCTTGACCTTGTTCTCCTCCATGGTCTCTGGGTAAAGAATGTGCGCAACACTCATATTCTTGATCTCCTCGGGGGACATCAAGCCGAACTGAATCTCCTCCACCGTCTTGAGCGGCGCGCTCGAGTGGGTGAAGTAGAGGTTCGCCATATTTGCGGTGTCGAAGTCGGCCGGGGGTATAAAAATTCAACGTAAGCGACCGTGATTATGCAGGAACAAGGAGAGAGTCGCGACTCGACAACGACGCGAAACCGGGCGAGAGATGATTAAAAAAACGATACGAAGTGAATCCGTGTGCTGTAAGTCCCAGAGGTCGGTTTAATCGATAAATGAAATCGAGAACGAAAAGTTCTGGATGGCGCTGAATGCAGGCGCCTGTCCTGGCCAACGGCCCAGGAGAACCTCAGGCTGGGCTCCCCCGTCGCCACCTCCTTGCAAGTCGCCAAGGTGAAGAGAAAAATCGGGCGGTCGCGATTCTGGTCGCTCTCGAATCGATTTCGCGATGTTGCGCACGCTGAGAGACGTGCGCGGTGATGGTCGTGTATGGAAGCAAAGTTTTGACGTGGTGAGAAAGGGTCTGGAGGAACCATGAAGAATCTGGGCTTAAGGCTGCTGGCCACACGATGGCGAGGACGCTAAACTACATGTGGAACACGCGCCACCTTGTTCGTGAGGTTGCAGCCTGAGAATTAAGGCGGCAGGCTAGGTTTAATTGGCCAGCGTTTCAGATCTTTGCTTCTTACTAATTCAGTTGGCCCAAAATAAAGCTGCGGCATACCTTAGTTTCGGGCTTTGTCCTATGTAGCCCAGCGCCTTGGCCGAGTGACTCAAGTAGCTACAAAGCATCTGAAACTTGCTCCTCTGCGATTGGTGACTGAGGGTCTCATGCAACTCGTCATTGTCCTCCAACGAAGCTAGGAGAGGCGACCTTTCTTGGCAATCGGCCAAATGATGCTTTGTTATTGTCTATTTCTTTTTGCTACGCCCTCCCTTGCTAGTAACTTTCTTCACAGGTACCCGCTCATATCCGTCATCATCTCCCTGACCTTCCCCAGGACTCCTACGCCGCATAGTTCCGGTCGAAACTGCGATAAACTCATCCTCACTGTCGCTTTCTCCAAGATTGAATAGCACCGGCATCCGAAAGCTATTCTCCCAACCCATGGCCTTGGGCTGATCAAGTGTCAACACGTCCACATCCTCGTCCTCCGCATCAAGTCGCCGTCTGTGAATCTCCTCCTGCGCATAAATGTCGAACTCGTCTTCCCGTTCAATGTATTCAACGTTTTCTTCGACTTCTGCGAAGTCGGGCGCCAGCGCAGACCATTTCTGAGGACTGACAACGGACCAAATGTATATCCTTCCCGTCTCCAAGCCGCATGCCGCCAACAGAGCGCGCGAAGGGTGCCATTCTATAACTCCTTGCTCCTCCTTGGGATCTTTGAGCATACACACCAAACTGCCGTGATTTCGTTCCCACACGTAGAGCTCGTGGTTATTGTATGTGGAGGCAGCAACATATTCGCCAGTTGCGCTGAAGGTGACATGGTTCCATGAGAGCTTGTTGACAACATCCTGGAATTTATGCTCGAGCGGAACCTGCAATGTATCCAAGTCCAGATCCTCAACGGAAAGATCTGGCAGACGAAATGTTCGTATGATTCGGTCCTGGGAGTTTACCAAAAGATCTCTACCTGATGCCGTGAGTCGCATTGTGGTGATGACTCCAGAACAGATCTTCTCCGTGTAAATGATTTCGCAAGTCCTTGCATCAATGATGTTTAGTTTGCCCTTGTTGGTCCCTGCAAGTATGTGGTCCCCGGTAGTCGTCCAAATGGCCGAAGTTGTCATTTGTCTCGCGTCCTCCTTCGCCTGCTTCTCCTTGAGAGCTGCATCTCCATTGGTGTTCGTCCGTTTCGGGGCAGAAGGTAGTATGTGTTTGACATCAACAGGTTCGGACACGTCGACCAGCATCGGCTGCTCCTCAAAGAGCGCGGTGACAAACCTAAGGCTAGTTCAATTTAGCATTTCTGACATCACGAGAGCGGTAGAGGAGGACCAACTGGTTCCAGGGGTGTATCTCAGCAATGTAGGCGGGAGCACGGAATCGAACCTCGCGAAGCCGACTTCCATCTTGCAAATCCCATAGGATAGCTTTCCACCCTTGGCAGGTTGACAGTAAATATCTGCCACATCGCGACCAGCTCAAGAAAGTGATGCCCTTGTTATGACCACGCAACTTCCTCGCAACCCCCATCGTCTCAAGATCCCACACGACAACTGTGCCATCGACTCGCCCGGAAGCTAGATAATCCCCTTTACGATCGAACCGCAGCATGGTCGCATGCCCTGAACGGATGGTGTTGGTGATATTCTCAGGGTAGTCCTGGAGAAGATAGTCGTCGGACAGTAGCATATTCATCGTGGCGGCGACGGAGAGCCCCCGTATATGGTACACTGATAATCGTAGAGGGGGCAGCTCACATTGCTGTCGGGGGCGCTCGAGACCGCCCTGCTGTGGTAGAGTTGCGACGGCGGAGCAAGTCTACAGCCGTGTCTGCACTAACTCTTGCCAGAGCTACTACAGCTGCAAGGCTGAGAGGTTTGGGACAACTAGCTCCACAAATAAATGGAGGGAAGCCCTTGAGCTCCGTTAACAAATTGCGCCTGACGACAAATATGCCACCGCAGAAATATGTGGATACCCACTGGAAGTACCACCAGCCTGGCAGGTACGAAGTACCTCACACTTGTGACTGCCCTGGACATGGACCCCACTGGAGAAGAGTACCATGAACAATTCACAAGCCTGACTGCGACTAACAATACCCATCACTCATCACAGCATCTTGAGGCGAGAGTGCAAAGCCACACTCAGCATGGCAAATTCCAAGTGAGAAGTCGCATTGTGTTCTGAAATATTACACCAATGAAACTAACTCTCTCCACAGATTTGAATATGTCCGCGCCTTCGAGCAACCAGACTACCTGCTCCCAAACACGTGGGTTGTGGTCAGAGTAGATGGTCGGGCATTTACCAAGTAAAGAATTAATGAAATCCCTCTAAGGCGCATTGCAGCAAACTCTAACACATGATAGAATGTGTGCAAAGTACAACTTTGAAAAGCCCAACGACCGCCGGGCGCTGGATCTCATGAACGCTGCGGCCAAGGCTGTAGTGACTGATCTTTCCGACATCACCATTGCCTACGGTGTAAGCGACGAGTACAGGTAATGAGTCCAATGTCTTCCCCCAGGTCGTTAGAGTCGCAAAACATCAAACTTACTTTGCAGCTTCATAATTCACAAGTCGTCAGGGCTGTTTGAACGAAGAGCGAGGTGAGGAGGTCTTAAAAGCTGGCTGAGTGCGACCCAGTTCTAACGAGCACTCACAGCAAACTCGTCAGCACCATCGTCTCAACATTCACTGCAAACTACGTCCACCTGTGGCCAAAATACCTGCCTGAAACACCCCTCTCCTTTCCACTACCCACTTTCGACGGGCGCGCAGTTTGCTACCCAACCGTCTCGAACCTGCGTGACTACCTGAGCTGGCGTCAGGCGGATTGTAAGTGAAGTCCCCCAATGCGAAAGCCGGCTGAAATTACTACTAACACCACTTTCAAGGCCACATCAACAACCTTTATAACACAACTTTCTGGGCTCTGATCCAGCAGGGAGGGCTTGATAACAAGGAGGCTGAGAAAGCCCTAGCTGTGAGTATCAGTTCCGTTTGTATAGACACACTCCTCTAACCGTCCTCAGGGAACATTGGCTGCGGACAAAAACGAGATTTTATTCTCTCGTTTTAAAATCAACTACAACAATGAGCCAGAGATGTTCAAGAAAGGCAGTGTTGTGTTTCGAGATGTAAGTGTCCTAAGCCCCCTTTGACGGAACTTCAACCACTCACATTCATGGATCCAAATTAGTACGAGTTGGTTGAACCTGACAGCCATACGATCACCGAGACTATGGACTCGCTTGCAGAGCCTATCAAGCAATCCAAGACGCAAACAGAAAATGACAAGAAGCGTCGAGCAAAGGCATGTATCGTTGTAGACCACTTGGACATTATCAAGAACGACTTCTGGGACAGGCGACCATGGCTATTGTCGAACAAGCCTGGGAAAATCCCCAAAGAAACTTAGAGTCAAAAAAAAATTGAAATCTTGACATCCTGGGTATCTAATGTGTAGATGTTCTACATGTTTCTGGTCCCTCTTTTGCCCAAACTCCCATGAAATGCAACAATCCAAAACACGCTTCGCCATATGCTCTAGGTTTGCCATCCGCTCACGCAGCGATAACTTTTTCTCCCATCCCTTCTATTCCTTTGACCTCTTCCTCCTCTTTTCTTCCTTTCGCTCTCGCCGCCGCCGCTTCTCCTCAGACAAGGAATCTTCTGAACTGGAACCCTTTTGGCCTTTCGCCCTGGCCTCCCTTCGCTCTCGGCGGGCGGCCCTCCGCAATGCGCGCGCTTCCTTCCGCTGCCTCTTCGCCTCCTTCCGTGCGCGTCGCTCCTCCTTCGTCTCCTTGTCGTCCTTTTTCGAGGACTTCTTGTCCTTGGCCTGTTCGGAATCCTTGCTGTCGCTGCTCGAGTCCGAAGTCGTAGAGTCTTGTGCAGACAGCAGATCAACGGTGCCCTCGAGGAAGCCGCCCCTGACAAAGGAAGAGTAGACGGACCACTTCCCCATCGACCCCTGCTCGATGATGTTGAGCTTGCCGGTCGTCACGGTCTGCTTCACGGTTTTGCCATTCGACTCCAGACCCTTCAATTGCTCGTCGAAGGCGTTCAGCCACCATTGGTCGTTGTTGAAGTGCTGCGCGACACCCAGGCCCTTCGTGTTGTCTTTGCGGTTCAGCAGGAGAGGCTTCGCGAGGCCTATCGAGTCGTCGTGCTTGTGCAGGGAGTGGCCGTGCCCCCGCCACCCTTGGCGGGAGAGGAGAGCGTGAGCGTTCATGATGCAGGGCGCGGGGATTTTCGGTGTGTGATTCTCTTAATTGTGTTTTCTTGCGTCGACATAAGAACTAAGTTTTTAAAAGCTGCTTGAAATGAATTGCACAGAGCCCAATATAATTAACTGCACGAGGTGGTTGGCTGGAAAAGAAATACGCTGCGACATCGTCGGCCAGGTCAATTTTTTTGGTGGGGCCAGTGCTATCTGCTTATCGCAGGGCCATCAACTCGCGAGGCTACCCTGGAGTTGTCTCATTCAATTCTCTTTGCATGACAGGTAGGTAACTTATCCATTGATTATTTCTTTCTGTTGTTTTTTTGTTGGTTTTTGACGCAGATTCCCAATAACTTAGCCGGTAACAATTTGGAGTGGGATTGCTTTGGACAACAAAAGCGTGGTAGGAGCTCCCAAGAATGGTTGGAATCAAGACAGTCATCTGCTTAATACAAAAGAAACCATCTAACAGACAGTACAAATAGAATGATATTTTATCTACTGCCTTTCCCTATTTCTCAAGATTTCTTCTATCGTAAGGCCTTCATCATCATCGTCGTCATCTGAACCATCGATCATCACTATACCCTTATACGCCGGGTGTTCTGGGTCATCTGAATCATAATGGCCGTCATTCTGCTGTCGAGACTCCGGTTGAGGAGTCTCCTCCTGTTTCGGTGTCTGCTTGATCTCTATCGAACCTGGTCGCAAAGGGAGTGCCAGAGCCTCAGACTCATCTTGCTGCTGCATTACTCTCCTTTGTGGTGTAGATTCACGGATCGGATCATCCAAGATGGACAAGTCATTGTCGTTGCTTCCGGATTTGATCTCCCCTGCAGCATACTGATGCTTCATCTTGATCAAGTCGTCTTCTTCAATATCCTTTCCAGAATGAACGCCATCGAAGCCGCACCGGCGAAGGATCTTGCCCGTCAAGTCGGGATACCGTAAGTGGCCACTGACTAGATCACTTAAGTCCAAATTCTCGACACCATTCACATCTTGAATTGGCTGGAGACCGGCTAGACCGAGTGTCAATGTATGCATACGGTGGACGAAACCCAAAACTAGGTCGTTCTCCGAATACACGTTGAAAATCTTCCCTGAAACGACTCTCCGTAGGGTACGCCAATGGGCCGATGAGGCAGGGGCAGGCGTTCCAATCAGCACAACAGAGTCGATGATGCCAAAAGCATGACGGTCAGCTAGAGATTTCAGACATGAATGGATAACCGTGGCGCCGTTGGAGTAACCTATTAAGGTGACTGGTCGTTCGCCCTGGACCTTGTTAATAAGTGCGTCTGCCAGGAGCTCGCCCGCCTTCTCTGATCTGTTCAACGCCCGACTGAACGGGTTATCGACATTGGAAGCCATCTTGAGCAGCTGGATCGGCCAGAGAGCTGCCCAGATGACGCTGAGAACGGTTCGTTTGATGATTTCAGACTTCAGGTAGTTCCAGGCAGCGGAAGAGATGAGGTCTTCGAACGCGGTGCCCAGCTCTAGCAGAGTATTCATCTCGTACCTGAGCGCGAACACCTCGGTCTCGTCACCAAGAACTCTCCAAGGCTTGGTGATGTCCTCTTCCTTATTCAACCACCCATTAATGCCAATGGTGACTCGGAGTCGGCGGTATTGGTCCTGGACAGACTTTTCGTCGGCGAATCTCCTGTCTGCTGTTTCGTTCAATGGTATGAACTTGAAATCCTCTACCTCCCTGGCATACTTATCCACCATTTCGCCCTGTTCACGAACGTTAGTTATCGCATTCGGATCAATGAATGTGCTGTGACAAACTTACCGTCATCTTCGCTCCATATGCGCCAAATATCGCACCAACAAGGGCACCGTTCATCCAGAAGATACCCAGAAAGCTTGCCACGCCACCCAGCCCAACTCCTCCCAGAATGCCACCCACCGCACCAGCAACCAAGGGCGCTGCCAGCCCCCCAGTGACGCCGATGATGGCAGCACCGGCAACTGAGGCCAGTCCAACCTTCCAGAATCTGCTTGCCTTGTTCTCCTCCTGGCGCTTAGCAGCCTCGGCCTCAGCCGACATGGCTTCCTTCTTGCTCTGCTTCGAGGAATCGATCAGGGACTTGGCGATCTCCGTCTCCTCGTTGACCACAAACGACTGCGAGAGCTCGAGAGACGAGGCAAGGTACAAGGACAGCGTGCGAGAGTATGCCGAATACTTCCCCGTAGAAAGCATGAGGAGCAGGATGCAGCTCAGCGCCTCCTTCCGGTCCTCGATACTCAACGTAGTCAGACGAGTGCTCGTGGGCGGGTACAGGTTCTGCAGGACGGTGAAATCCTCCGCCTGCGCCCCCGCGCCATCGTCCATGTCGATGAGGTTCCCGCTCTCCTCTGGAGTCGCAGGACCCTTTGCGGCCATCATTTCAGCCCGCTTCCGCCTCTCGGCCTGGATCTTTGCGTCATCCTCCACATGGACAATCTCCTCCAACTTGGGTAGGAACTCATCCCTCCACTTCTTGATGTCGATTAGAGCAGCTCTCTGGATGCGCGCGGCCTGGGTGTACTCGTCATCATAGGGTGATGGACGCCTACCAGGTTGCTGCTGGTTAGGCCTCGCTTTCTCAGATTGTGATGGAATGTCTGAGCCCGACTCCCGTGCGCCGGATTCCGCAGTTCTCTTTGGAGGATCCCCGTCTATCAAATTCACTGGCCCTAGGTCGTTTGGCGTGTCCTGGAGCTGGGAGATCATGTACGAGATGATCTCATCAACGAGTTTAAGTACCGCCTGTCGCCGAGCCCTGTTAAAGGCGATGACAATCTGCCTCGGGTCAACGCACAGAGGAGCCATGGTGAGCCAATTTCTGCGCGACGTTGCAAAAACGACAGCACGGCAATGGCCATGGAAAAGGGAACTTTAGGCAGGCGGTGCTCAGTTTGCTGGCTCCCTTGATGGAACTCTGGATCAGTCAGCAGTGCAACCGCAGCTTCAAGTGAATCAGGCTGCCTAAAAATAGGTAGTGCCAGTCCTCCACGTCATTCGTTCAGCATGGTGAACCGAAAAGTGGCGACTGGACTATGAAACGGCGTATGCTTAGTTTTAAGCTAAGTTAGCAAGATGGATCGTCTTCATATTCTAATTGGAACATTGCTGGATTGCGGGCAAGCATGCCTTTGCACTGTACATCGCCTAATCATCACAATACTACGAGGGCCTTGATTAAGAACGCGCAACTTCGATTGATGTACTATGTACAAACTCATCCCAAATACACATATAAAGCCTGTTTATAGTGTTTATAGTACATGCGGAGATTCAGACCTCTTTGATGAAAATGGAAACAGATTGATCATCTCTGATTACACAATAACGCTTCCCGAATCCACTGTGTTCTAGATCACGCGATTCCCGACTTCACTATTCTTTCCTTTGATATGCATATACGGTATGAGATTTTATCGTATTGACTGCCGAAAACAACTAGGGGTATTCTGGCTCCTAAAACTGCTCGCTGCCTTGTATCTTCCTGCGTGGTATAAAATATGGGGTATTTCGGGCGGCTGTGTGTTAAAAGATTGAGACTTAAGAAGGCATAAACGAAAAAAGAAACAAAAAGAGTCTGATATTAAGTAGAAGCACAACAAGCTTTGAAAGAAAGTCGTTGTCCATCAAGGAGCACCATGTTTAAGCAAAGGAAATTAGCTGGCGCATCGGGCCATACGAGTGCTTGCGTGATAATAGGAAATAGCAGATGTTGTTCAGGTGAGTTGTCTGGGGTAAGAAATCGGCTGGTGCCGAGTTAAGAAATGGACGGTGTAGTTTTAATGACTGGCTGGTTGCTGTGTAGCCGGGGCCGTTTGAGGGGCACCGACACCCTCCATGTTTCCGGTGAGTTCGGCGACACGGGCCTTGATGCGTGCTACGCGGGATTCAATAGCTAGATGTTTGTTAGCTTGCCCAGAAAGGGTTGCGATGGGGGTGATTGGAAGTATCTTACTCTCTTCTCCGCTTGTATCATCGCCATCATCAGACGAGCCTGGCGGCTTGGTTGGGGTGCGCTCAAAGTTGGCGGCACGTTCGGCTGCGTTCTTGCGGATCTGAGCCCATCGATCCTGGACACCAGGACCGGCGGTCTGGCTCAATTTCTCTTCCTTGGGCAGGCTGGCAGCGTGCTTTTCAAGGGAGGATTCACCAGGAGCGACGGGGCGGCGTGCAATGGGGGGTGGAGTGGCGTCGTCCTCACCATCGCTCTCAGGGACAAACGCCGGCTGATCCTCCAGAGGACCTTGGGTGAATTGCGAGTGTGATACCTCGGCGTTAGGGGCCTGGGCAGCCTTGGTTGTCTCCTCCTCGATAGGGCTAATAGGGCTTACAGCATCCGTCTGCTCTTCCTGGACAGGAGCCGGGGCTGCGGTCTCAATTGATGGCTGCACCTGTGGCTCTGGTGTCTGTTGGCTGTCTCGGAGCATATCGTTGAGATTCCCTGAAGCGTTCTCGGGAAGCTTGGACGCGCGGTTTCTTCGGCTGAAGAACTTCCTGAAGCCTCCAGACTTCTTCGGGTCCTTCTTGGTCTCAATACCAGGGCTAACTGGCTCTGGGGTAGCTGCAGCTTCTCGGACGGGGTCTGGAAGTGGGATATCCTTCTCAGGAGGAGATGTAATCTCCTCAGGATTTCCTTCTACCTGCGCAGGAGGCTCAGGGGATTTGGGAGGTTCAACAGGAGGCTCTTCAATCTTTGGAGGCTCGGGACTCTTGGGGGGCTCGGGGCTCTTAGGAGGAACGGGGCTCTTGGGGGGAACAGCGGGGCTGGCTGAGCCGACAGGCTTTCGTCCGGGAATTGCTTCCTTGATTACAGGAGGCGGACGTGGAAGCGGCTCTGCCTTTAGTTCTGTCGATGACCCGTTGGTCTTCCCGTGGCCATTGGTGAGCTTGGGCGCAGGCTCAGGCTCAGGCACAGGTTCAGGCTCAGCGGGCACTGGAGTGAGGGTAGCTCCGCGTCCAGCTTTGCTGTTCGACATGTAAGCGTCTCTGAGAGAATCCTTGTTGTCGTATTTGTTGACCCATTTCATAGCCGACGAAGCCTCGCCCACCAGGGACGATTGCATGGTCATCACACTGTTGACCTTGTCCGCCCTGAGGTCGGGGTTCACATTGCCCCTGCGTTGTGCCAACAATGCCTGCTGTCGACCGTGGTCATTGGCAGCCCTGAGCTGAGCAGCCTTGGCTTGAATCCTTGCATGGGTGTCAGGTCCCACGCTTGCCTTGCTGCCCGCAGCGCTGCCACCAAGTTTGCTTAAATGGTCTGGTGTGTTCTTCCCTGTCGACTTGCGGCGCTTCAACGTCTTTCCGCGCCTGGTCCAACTAAAGAATCCCTTCTTTTCGGCAATATACGCTCCTTCTGCAGGCTCTGGCGCGGCGCCCGCAATCATCTCCTCCATCACGAGCCACCGGCCGCTCTTGATGATCGTCTCCACGACAGCACATCGTCCGAAAGCCGACTTTCTGTCAGGGGTTTCCTCGGGCGCCAGACTGCTCATCCAAACCCACCAGAATGCGTCATCAAGATCCAGAACGGTGATGCTAGCCAGCTCACCTGGGTCGAGATGCTGTTCGGACTCGAGTCTTGGTCGATGAGACTGTGAGCTATGTTGCCTTTGTGTCGTTTCGATAGGAGGCAGTTGCTTGTCTGGTGGGAGTAGCATGTTGGACCCTGATTGCCCATCAACAAAGCCTGAAGAGAGGAAATCGGCCCATGATGGGGTGGTTGGTCGACCACCCTGCATGCCCGAGGCAGGTTGGCGCCTTAGCGGTTGAGGTTGCTTGCGAGATACCACACCATCTTCCTCTTCGTCTTCCTCAGATAATGCGCTTGAGAAACCGACATCCTCGAACCGGGACCAGTCCGCATCGCGGAGACTGGTGGAGTGCTTGACGCTCGACACTTGCGACTGATTAGCAGACGAAATTGCCTTCAGAACACGGCGGCACTCCTCAGTCAAAGCTCGGATGGGATCTTCGTAAGCCGAAAATTCCTGCAATGCCCTATCTGAATCACGGTACTGGAAGTGATTGGTCCGCCGAAGGAGGGAAAAGGGTGTGGGCGAGACAGTTTCAACCATCATGACAACCTTATTCGTCCGTGACATCATTAGTTCAGGTCTCTGAGGGGGGTACTCGGTTTCCTGAACAAGCTTTTGAAGAGCTCTAGGCAACGATGTAATTCCTCCGATACTTGTCTCGGGAGCCATTGATCTCAGATAGGCAAAGAAGAGATGGCTTGTAGCATCCGCGGCGCTGATCACACGTTAGCCTTGCTTTGGTGGCGCCCGTCGGGCCATTTTGAGACGAGGCTGAGAGACTTACCTTGACCAAGCCGAATAGCCACCTTCAAAGCCGCTGCCAGTGTCTTTCTGTTCAAATGCCCACCAGGCGGCCATCCGCGACAACTTGCGACCACCCATACCGTTCGTCTTGCCGTGCGCGGCGATAGCTGCTAGAAGCTCGAAGAAGTCGAAGATAATCCGTTGTCGAGCTCCGTTCTCGACGCTGATGGGAATGAAAGTTTTGAACGAATCACGGGCCATATTGGAGTCTGTTGTGGTCCATGGTCAGCCTTCCCTTCCTCGATGCGATGTAGCTTGACATGTCCTACCAAATTCTCCGACCTTGAACAGTTCGTATGCATCCCACCCGACTACACCACCCTGCAGCCGGCTCCAGCACCATTTTGCAACTCCCGAGATCACCTGCAAACTTGAGTCAGCATTGCCACTTGTGCGCTGTTCGTCCCCCAAACCATGTTCCATACCATCGGCTCTGCCATACGCAGCTCTTGCAACAGAATTTCGCCGCGGGCGGGCTGGTTATGATCGAAAAAGTGTCGAACGAAAGTGCGTACGGCACTAGGGTCTGAGGTCGGTCGGAAGGGTAGGAGCAGGAAAGGGTGGTCCAGAGCTGTTGTAAATCAGCATTGTTAGCACAGACCGGTGTCACGAAGCAGCTGCAAAGTCGTACCTCGTGCCTTGAGCTCCTCGGTACAGAAGTGAAGGAGCTCGTGGATCTCCTCCGGCTCGACGGACTGCCTCGTCCAAGCATCGTCCCATTGTGGTTTGGCAGCGGCCGCGTTCGCCAGGTCGTTGAGCGCGGCCTTCTTCTTGGACTTGGAGTCCTTGCCCTTGAGACGGGCGAATAGACCACCCGCCATCTTGGAGGTGAATTTTCGACGTTAGGGAAGACCAAGGCCAGAATCCGTAGAGTAGCGCCTCGTGCGCATCTGTTGTCGAGTTCAGATCAGGGTGAGAGTCGGTTGGGCAAACCTATTGTGGGAGCCCCTGTCCTGCGCCAGGGGGTGAAGAAACTATGATGGAACGAAGCGGAAACAGTTTGGCGCAACAAGCTAAGTGTAATTATTTCCCTTTCCCGCGATAATTGCTAAGTATAGACGAGCCTGGGTATTCTGCGCAACGGTTCTATGCGAAATGATGACTGGATGCGAAAGGATATGCGATGAAGCGCACGCGTAGGAAGTTTCGAGATCAGACACAGAATATCGTGACGGCGGTGGAGGGGGGTGGTGCTTGGATTGGTAGGTAGCAGCAGTAGGGGAATTAAAATAAACAGGAGGGGCATGTAATGTAGGATGGGGGTATCAAAGGGAACAAGCTGGAACAAGGAAAGATTAATTCATTGGCTGCGGCCAAGTTGACGGCCCCCGGTCAGACGATGTCAACGAAAGAAAACAATCCAGCCCAGTTGGATGTCCATTAGCCCAAAGGAAAGGGGTGACTGGCGAGTTGGCGGAAATTCTAGTCGCTAGGTTCCCGTCCAGCGTTTGGAGATCTCTCAGGGGGTGAGGCGTCAGGACGCAGGGGCCAATTGGGGGAAGACGACCAGGGGCCGTCTAATTAATGACCTGCCTGCCTCCTACCTAGTGGTGTGTATAGCGTTTCTTTATGGGTTTGGTGTGATTTCTGCCAGCAGTAATATCACCAATGCCGGCAAGTATATGGATTAATCTGCCAGGAAGACTGGCAGGAGCCCTGCATGCGTCTCGCCGCTGAACAGTCCCGGCTCGCGTGTCCCGCGATGCGAGCAGCTCCAAAGCCTCTGCAACTATTTACCATGTATGGAGGCCAGTCTGGAACGGATGGCCCAGCGTCCTGATCTGTCACAGCAGCTCCCAGTGAGGGCCAGTTGGAGTGGCGTGTGGCACATTGGACGATGCATAACGAGCAAGGGTACACGGGCAGCGGGTCGGTTTTTGAGTGACACCCTGAAATTTTAGCACCACTCCAACGCTAGACTGAACAGAACAGGTAGCGAAACGCTCTCTTCGCCCACATGCAATGCATTGACTGATCGGATGGAGTCAATGCCCATCCTGAGCTCTCGATGCCTTCCATGCTTTCCAGACATCCGGAACAGGCCCGATCACGAATCTCTGGGCTTGGGCTGTCTCTGGTCGGATGTGCCCCCTGCCCTGTGGTGCCCTGTACTTCGGCTATGTAACGCTCTAACGCCGCCCGCAATCGTATCTGCAGTTGGAGCTGTCGCGCCACGACGCGTCGTTGGGCTGCCGGTACCTTAATTGCCCACCCACGCCGCCCGAATAGGACTCGTGCCAGGCTGGTGGGGCTTGCGGCTGTTGTTCCTGGTCCAGTAGAACCGTTGCACACTGGAGCTTGCTTTTTTCAGCAAGACAAAAGGAAAAAGCAAAAAAAAAAGACAAAGAGAGGCGGGAGACAAGGGGACATCAGACGAACTAGAGGAAATGCTGTATCGCTGGACAACACCATCCGCTCCTATGAGGCCCAAGCTGCTAGTGAGGCCGCCGTGCTTTGCCAACTAGTGAGGTTGCAAGAGGGGATGTGATACAGTGCGCTGGCTGACATGTGGTTTGCAGTTAGACTGGGCTGAACAGGGGTCTCTGACTATTCGTTGGACTGCGCATTGCCAACTCATCATGCGAGACGTCACCAGCAACAGCGCTGAAAAGTCAAGTGAGTTGGCATGAATGAGGGCCAGCTGGGCATTCTGCGCAGAAACAGGTCTTGGCTTACTTGCGTCAGCACGTCACATTGAACGCAGGGCCAGTATTCTATTGCCGTTTTGTGTGCAAGCACGGAGCACTGATCGATCTGCCATTTCTGTCAATGCGACTCGACGATGCCAGTTCATTTCAGGCAGCTGTGATCTCATGCATAATCCGTAGTAGTTCCCGAACACGCCAGTTGCATATCCTATCGACGCTATTGACCTATCATAGACAAAGGAGACCAAAAGATCCAGCTGCTTGCTGCATAATAAAACACCCAAATACTGAACAAAGAGGCTAGATATATTGTACAATTGAATCCAAGTCGTTATAGTTATGACGACTTCGTTTGCTTCTTGACTTGTTCCTCAGCCTGATTGAGTGCCTCAGCTAGAGCCTCCTCATCATCGCTGAGTATATCAGTTTCATCAAACTCGTCCTTTTTCTCTGGGACTTTCTTTTCCGGCGTCTTTGCCTCTGGAGCCTTCTTCTCTGGGGCCTTCTGCTCCGGGGTCTTCTGTTCCTCTTTACGAGGTTTCGACAAGGTGGTATTGTCCGGATTCAAGGCCCAGTCAATCTCACCATCGTCACCATATCGCTCAATCAGCCAGGCATTGGCCTTCTTAAAGTGGCCGCAATCAAAGAAGCCCCTCATCGCACTGAGAGGGCTGGGGTGGACGGAATTAAGAACAAGATGACGGGTCTTGTCAACCTTCTGAACTCTCTTACCCGCAGGTGTACCCCAAGCCATGAAGACAACACCCCGTGTGCGCTTCTGGTTGATGAGTTTGATGACCTTCTCGGTGAATGCCTCCCATCCCCGGTTCGAATGAGAAAAGGCTTCGTGCGCGCGCACAGTAAGGCAGGTGTTGAGCATGAGTACACCTCGATCGGCCCAAGGAGTCAAGAGTCCACCTCGGTTTGGAGGTACCTCAAACGCTGGGTAATCCTTCTTCAACGCGACATACATGTTCTTAAGCGACGGGGGTGCAGGAGTCGGAGGTCGAACCGAGAAGGCCATGCCGTGCGCTTGATTGACATTGTGGTATGGATCTTGGCCAACAATGACCACTTTAATTTCATTGAAGGGGGTATGTCGTGACCTAGGATTTGTCAGGGCAATCATCCGACATGTGCGTCTTTGGTGAGCTCTTACCAAGAGTAAACATCCTCTGCTGGAGGGTACCACTTTCGTCCTGCCTTCGTCTCTGCCTGCAGGAATTTTTTCAAGTCCAGGAACTGAGTGGTCGTAATATCATCTTTCAAGTGGGCGAGCCAACTCTCGTGCAGCGTTTCAATCTCTAGCTGGAGGAGGGTTCTCTGTTCGGGCGTCAAGCTGTCGACCCATTTCTGTTTGTCAAACTTGAGGGCTGGTGCCTCAGCACCTGAGCCTTTTGCTCCTGGCTTTGGAGCGCCAAAAAACGAGGCGATGTTTCCGTTTGCCTTTGGCTTCTTGGCATCATTCCCCCCGGCTGCCCCGGCTTTTCGTTTAAGCATTGTGAGGTTGCGGATGTGACAGGGTGCTCTAGTGATAGATTCCAGCAACGGCCTCCAACTGGAAGGAGGGAAGTGTATGTATCGTGAAGGAAGAATGGTGGTAGGACGAAGATTCCGTTGTTTGAATAGAGATTTCAGACTATTTGAAGAGATTGGGGCTGTGAGGAAAAGGGGAAAAAGAAAGGTGACTAGGCTGCAAGATGCACGCCGGGACTCTCTCAGCCGTGACGCGAAACGAAAACCCATTAACGCGCTTCGCGTTGCCGATCGCGTGAGCACATGTTCTACCAGCCACATTATGGCGCTCCAGCCACATCAGATTCAAGTAGTGGCATGGCTGCAGATACGGTATCGCATGGTTGCGGTAAGTCGGGGGTGCAATTGGAGGGCAAGATTTGCATTCGAGCTAGGTGAGATGAAGATATCTATGTTGCGAGGTTATTTTCTATCATCCAAGATCACACGTACCTGCATATGCCCTGCCCTGGCAGGTGGTTGAAATGGTGGGCGGCCAGGTGGTGCCATAGAAAGTGGCGCACCTACATCACCGAAGGAATCCCGCGGAATTTCAAAAATAATGCACAAAAAAAGTAGGAATAACATTCTATATATTCAATTAGATAGATTCTGTCCTGTAATTTTTTATTTCTCATTGAAGCCCAGTATTGACAGTAGCCGATTTACACAAGCTGAGTGCAACGTTCTTGCGTGCTCTCTTCCAGAATAATGCCCACTTGCCAGCTTATTTCGTCACCGGTGGGCATTAGTCATCTCGTTAGCTTGGCTCCTGACGTCTGAACAAGCCACGGTGCTACCCTCCCGCATACCTTGAGCTATCACCGAGGAGCAGGTAAGCTCCACGTGTAATTAACCGTCACCTTGCCAAACTCCCACCACAACACCATACTGAATAGTATCTTCTTTTTTAGTCATTGGTGATTCGGCCATGCTTCAAGACATTTCCTTATTCTTTCATACATAGAACCAGACCGGCATGGCCAGACTACAGGTCTGGTTAGTCCGTAAGTGTCCTGTACCTAACTTGATAGAATCAATAAATGTGTCACTGACAGGGTTACCCGACAGTGCTTTTGCAGGTCTTCGTGGTTGTCTGCGCGAATTGGGACCAGGAACAAGACGACAAATCCAATGGCGGCAGGGATCGAGGCGACCATGATCAGAGAGACCCGGACTTCCAGCTTCTATCCCACCGAGAACAAGATGCGGCCCCGAAACCAGGTTCGTGCGATCTGGCATGTCAATGTGCGCAACTTTGAGACTGACCAACGTGTAGGTGCTGAACTTGTCAGCGCCGCCCTGTCCGAACTCCGAAAAGTCCAGAAATCGCCTCACCACCGAGCTCGTCGATCTCCAGGTGTGATGTCAACAGTGTTACAATTCGCTATGAAGGCGATTCCCACAGGCCCCGCCAAAGCGCCATCGCACGGGCAGACGACGAGCGCACCGGTAAATGGGCCGCTGGCTAATGCCGTGGAGTTACTTGAGCAGGCTGCTAAGCAGAATAACTCTGATGCTTTGCTGATACTGGCCGAGATGAACTTCTTCGGAAAATACAACTACCCCAGAGATCTCCATGTCGCTTTCAGTAAGTACAGCGAACTTTCTGACATTCATGGCAATGCGACTGCGCAGTACATGTTGGGTGTCTATTACTCGACGGGGCTAGCAGGCGTTGTCCCGGCAGACCAGGCAAAGGCATTGCTGTATCATACTTTCGGAGCTGCCAATGGTGACTTGCGGTCGGAGATGGCTATAGCCTTCCGTTACTTGGCTGGCATCGGGACCGTGAAGAACTGTGAGAAATCAGTTGGGCATTATAAAAATGTCGCCAACAAGGCTATTGACTGGTACCGGTCAGGTCCTCCTGGAGGTCGATCCTGGATCCAACAGAGCTGGCGAATCTCGGATGACGACGGCGGTATCTATGGAGAAGGAGCAAGCGTGTCCAGCGCAGGATTGAACGCTTTCCGACCCAACCCTAGCTCTGATGCGAATGCTGCCATTGGTGATGTTATTGAGTATCTGGATCTGATGTCTCAGAAGGGAGACTTCAAAGCTGCCTTCAACCTGGGAAGAACATATTACGAGGGACAACGAGGCCTGGACCAAAACCTGGAACTCGCAAAGAAGTACTTCTTTCTGGTAGTATCACGCTACTGGAAGCGAGATGGGACCAGGATCGACAACTTCAAGCAAGGCATCGAGAAGACTGCCGGCAAGGCGGCGGCATATATCGGAAGGATGTACTTGCGCGGAGAGGGTGTAACACAAAACTTCGAAAAGGCCAAGATATGGTTCGAACGTGGCATTTCTCAGACTGATCCCATGGCATACTATGGACTTGGATTAATCAACCTCAATGGACTTGGTGTCAAGAAGAATGTGAAGAGAGCCATGGATCTTCTCAAGAAATCCGCCGATCAGGACTATGCTCCTGCGCAAGTTGAGATGGGACGCTTGTATCTTGATCAAGGCGGAGTTGATGACCTCCGAACAGCCAACAATTATTTTGAGCTCGCTGCCAGATACGGCAATATCGAGTCCGGCTACTACATTGCGGAGATGGTAAACAACGGAGTAGGACGGGAGTACATTTGCTCCGTCGCTCTGAGCTTCTACAAGCTTGTAGCAGAAAAAGCAGAACCGCTCGTTTCTACATGGGACGATGCAAACGCGGCATATGAGGAAGGGGACTTCGAGCGAGCCTTCCTGGAGTATTTACTGGCCGCTGAACAGGGTTATGAAAAGGCCCAGACGAACATCGCCTACATGTTAGATACGGAACGGTCAAAGCTGCCTATCCAATCCTGGGCAGCTAAAGCCATCGGGCAGAGCAAGCCCCAAGAGGGAAACCTCCTGAACAATCCCACCCTGGCATTGATTCAATGGACAAGATCATCTCGCCAGAATAATGTTGATTCGACGGTCAAGATGGGAGACTATTACTTCTATGGCATTGGGACGGAGAAGGACATCAGCAAGGCAGTGCAATGCTACACCGCGGCATCAGATCATTCCCAAAGCGCACAAGCTCTGTTCAACCTGGGCTGGATGCACGAGAACGGCTTCGGGTTGGACCAAGATTTCCACCTGGCCAAACGATACTATGATCATGCTCTGACTGTAAACAAGGAAGCATACCTTCCGGTGACCTTGAGCCTATTGAAGCTTAGGCTGCGTAGTGCGTGGAACACAGTGACTCATGGACCAATCCACTCCATACAGGACGAGCCCAGTAAGTTCCCTTCACTTCCCTCAAAGCTGCAGATGACTGACATCCCTTATTGCAGAATTGAAAAAGGACTGGTCTCTGGGTGAGTGGATCGCGAATTTCATCAAAGATGACAGGTATTTCGATGAAGAGATACGCCTTGAAGACATTGTCGACGACCCGATCGGTACTGGAGAAGGCGATTTCCAAGACGATGGAGTGATTGAGAGCCTTCTCATCATTGGCGTTATGGCCGCCCTGGTATTCCTGCTCTGGTGGCGTCAACGGATGCAGCAGGCTCATGCCCAGGCAGAGGAGGCGGCGAGACGTCGGGCTCAGGGATTCCCCCCCCAAGGACAGCAGGTAGGAGGCCCAGGAAACAATCTAAACCCAGATGATGGCTTTGCCGCGTGGGCTGGGGGTGGTCTGGGATTGTGATATTATGTATAGATCATGGCTGATGGCATTCAATGTGGATTTGGGATTGGCGTTTGAGCGTGCGTCCATTATTACATAGCGCATATAGCATTCTGGAATTGAAAAGTACAGACGCATTCACTGGGTGTTCCTGAGAGAACGATGTCATTTTGGTTCGAGGTCAATAGATAGCTATCGATGATGATAACCTCGACGTCGTTATCCATCTTTGACATGGGAGATGAGGACAGAGGATAGGAACTGTAATTTATTTGTCTTATATATGCTACTCGCTGCAGGACGCATGAAAGGGAGGCAAACCTCCGGCTCACCTAAACACCAAAAACTCCTCATCTGGGCAATTACATGTACATGCTGAAAACGGGGGCTGCTTAATGATTAGTCTATGTCCATCACCTCATCGTCGTCTGTCGCAGCGATTGGATTAGCCAGCGCCTGCTCTCCAAGGGACTGCGCAGCCACGGGCGCAGCGCTGGCCCCCTCCCTCTCCTGCCTCTGCTTCTCCCGCAGGCGGTGGCGAGTCTCCAAAATGGCCTTGCGGACGCTGTCCTGTTCCTTGGGCAGGGTCAACGACTGCGGGTCGTTGTAGAGCACCATCTGCATGCCCGCGAGCTCGCCGTCGCTGTTGGCGAGGATGTGAGGCGGGATGCGGTTCTGCTTCAGGTGCTTTTCAATGTCTGGGAGGAAGATAAGCTTGCCATCTTCCGCGTCGCTCTCGTCTGAGGAGAGCTCGTCGTCGATGTTATAGATGTAGACCTTGTACTTGGAGTCGTCCAGTTGCATACTATCCTGATCTGGGTTGCGTCCAGGCTGTGTGTGCGCCTCTGGTGGCCGCGGCTGCACTTGCGCAGCGGGATGTCCACTGCTGTCGGCCGCGGTGGGATTCTCAACCGGGACATAAAGCTTGGAACCGTTTTGCTCTGGCAGTCACATATAGTTAGAAAAACCATCGACGGAAATCTGCGCACGCGAGGGGGTTCGGGGGCTGCGCGGAGGTGTGGGCAGGCAGCGCTGGGGGTGGGGATGGACGGGAGCTACGTACCCAGATTAAGCAGGCTCAGGCGTTTGGAGAGACGCTCGTTGTCCTGGGACTGAGCCTTCCTCTTGCGCGACGGCTTCGTGGCCTTGACAGCAGCCGAGGAGTCATCTTGCGTTGTCGGCGCAGGAGCAGGATTCACGTGGTGCGCAAGGTAAGGCGTGGGAGAGGGAGATTGCGGTCGGGTGCTGTGCAGCATCATCTTTCTGCCGAATTTCCAGCCGTGTTCTCCAATCAAACCATCGTTGCTCGCGCACTCTCCTCTTTTAAATTTATTTTCCTCCCCCTGGGCGTCGCCTCGGGGCAGTTCGGTCAATCAATCAATCGCGCGCACAGCAGCTAGCGTGCAGTCTTGATGGGAAGCTGATTGGCGCCTGTGGAAACTGAAACTGGCCTCGACAGGATTGCGGTGATAAGGGATAAAAGGTGGTGAAGTTGGATCAGTCTGCATGTGGTCGCGAGGTGCCAGTGGCTGCTTGCCGGCGGCCAGATACGGGAGCTGGAGGAGGCCCTCAGTGGCCGCAGCGGTGCACCGGCAGCCAGCATTGACTCATTCTTGTAGAAGTTTCCACCACAAAAGCAGCAGGCTTCCCACCACTTCCACCACCACCACCACCAGTCCGATACCGCCCTCTCGCCACCAACTCTGCATCCAGGCAGGATCTTGTCGCCCCATCGTCGTTTTCCCTCCTGCAACCGCAATTCGATTTTCCCGTCTCTTCTCCAGTGCAGCAGTCAACATGGCCGAGTCCACCCACCAGTGGCCGGCGGCGCGGGTGCGCCAGACCTTTTTGGACTATTTCGCTGAGAAGGATCACACAGTAGGTGAGTGGCGGGGTCTTCAGAGCCTCACGACACCAATCCTTGCGCGCGCATTCCTGGCTTGATATCACAAGGCCTCTTTCCCTGTTCTTGTATTCGCTACAAGATCATGCTCATTTAAATTTTTTTTCCTACTTCGCATCGACTTTGCAGCCTGCTAATCCTGTCGCGATGCAGTACCTTCCAGCTCCGTCGTCCCCCACAATGACCCCTCCTTGCTCTTCACCAATGCGGGCATGAACCAGTTCAAGCCAATTTTCCTCGGGACAATTGGTAAGACGGATCCCATGGCCGACCTGAAGCGCGCTGTCGATTCGCAAAAAGTCATCCGCGCCGGTGGCAAGCACAACGACCTCGACGATGTTGGCAAGGATAGCTACCACCACACCTTCTTCGAGATGCTGGGCAACTGGTCCTTCGGCGACTACTTCAAGGAGGGTATTGTGGAAATGTCCTGGGAACTTCTCACGAAGGTCTATGGTCTCGACCCTGCCCGACTCTACGTTACCTATTTCGAGGGCAAGCCCGAGGCTGGGCTCGAGCCCGATCTCGAGGTGAAGAAGCTGTGGCAGAAGATTGGTGTGCCGGATGACCATATTATCCCTGGCAACATGAAGGATAACTTCTGGGAGATGGGTGACCAAGGTCCTTGTGGCCCTTGCAGTGAAATCCACTATGACAAGATTGGCGGGCGCAATGCTGCCTCTCTGGTCAACGAGGATGATCCCATGGTCATCGAAATCTGGAACCTGGTTTTCATCCAGTACGACCGCCAGGCTGACAAGAGCCTGAAGCCCCTCCCAGCCAAGCACGTCGATACCGGTCTCGGATACGAGCGATTGGTTGCCGTCCTCCAGGATGTCTCCTCCAACTATGCCACCGACGTTTGGACTCCTCTGTTCAAGAAGATTGAAGAGGTCACTGGCGCTCGCCCCTATACCGACAAGTACGGAAAGGACGATGTTGATGGTATTGACATGGCCTACCGTGTGGTTGCGGATCACATCCGCACCCTGTCCTTCTCCATTACTGATGGTGCTGTCCCCAATAATGATGGCCGTGGTTACGTTGTTCGCCGTGTCCTTCGCCGAGGTGTTCGTTACGGTCGCAAGTACCTGAACGCTGAGATTGGTACTTTCTTCTCCAGAATCCTTCCTGCCCTCGTTGAGCAGAAGGGTGGTGAGTTCCCTGAGCTCATCAAGAAGCAAGGAGACATCAAGGAGATTCTTGATGAAGAAGAAGAGGCATTCGCACGAACCCTGGACCGTGGCGAAGCCCAATTCGAGAAGTACGCCGCTGCCGCCGCTAAGGATGGTGCTAAGAAGCTTGACGGTAACACCGTGTGGCGCCTGTATGATACGTTCGGCTTCCCCATCGACCTGACCAAGCTCATGGCCGAGGAGCGACAGCTTGATATCGACGAGGCTGAAGTCGAGGTGGCTCGCCAAAAGGCTAAGGAAGCTAGCAAGGTCGTCAAGGACTCTGTTCAAGGCTTCCCCAAGCTCGATGTGCACACCATTGACCAGCTGAAGAAGCTCGACACTGTCGAAACTGATGATGAGCCCAAGTTCGTCAGGGGCGACACAAAGGGTAAGGTTCTCAAGATCTACGATGGCAAGGACTTCCTCCAGACGACAAAGGATGTACCAGAACACACCCGTCTGTCAGTTCTTCTAGACCGAACCAACTTTTACGCCGAATCTGGTGGTCAGGTCGCAGACACCGGCCGCATTGTCATTGACGATGTTGTTGAGTTCAAGGTACTGGATGTCCAGAACTACGGTGGATACATCCTTCATAGTGGCTACGTCGACTACGGCTCTCTGTCAGTTGGCGATGAAGCCATCTGCGAGTATGATGAGCTGCGCCGTGCGCCAATCCGCAACAACCACTCTGGCACCCACGTTCTCAACCATGCGCTCAGAGAGGTTCTAGGCGATGACATCAACCAGAAGGGTTCTCTTGTCGATCACGAGAAGCTCCGATTTGACTTCTCCCACAAGAGCGGTGTCAAGATTGATGAGCTGAAGAAGATCGAGGATCTGTCCAACGCCTATATCCGCTCCAACTCCAAGGTTTATGCCAAGGATGTTGACCTGGACCTTGCTCGCGAAATCGAGGGTGTCCGTGCCGTCTTCGGAGAGACTTACCCTAACCCTGTTCGCGTTGTGTCCATTGGACAAGACATTGATACCATGCTTGCAGACCCCAAGAATAAGGAGTGGCGCAAGTACAGTATCGAATTCTGCGGTGGCACCCACGTGGAGCACACCGGCCTCCTCAAGGACTTTGTCATTGTCGAGGAGAGCGGCATCGCCAAGGGAATTCGACGAATCATCGCCTACACTGGTGAGGCTGCCCACCAGGTCCAGCGCGAGGCTGTTGAGTTTTCCAAGAAGCTTGATGCGCTTGCTGCCCTGCCATTCGGAGCCGAAAAGGAGGCGCAGATCAAGGTCACCTCCCAGGAGCTTAGCCAGCTTGTCATCTCCACCCTGACCAAGGACGAGCTCAACAAGCGTTTCCAGAAGATAACCAACGACGTCGTTGCGGAGCAGAAGAAGAGGCAGAAGGCCGAGTCCAAGACTGCGCTTGACGCCGTGGCCAAGCACTTCGAGGCCAACGCCGATTCTAAGTGGTTCGTCGGCCGTCTGCCAATCGGTGCTAACGCCAAGGCAGTGGGTGACGTTGTCAAGCACTACCAGGGCAAGGATAAGGAGAAGTCTGTTTACTTGTTTGGTGGAAACAAGGATGAGGGTGTGGTCCACGGAGTCTACGTCGGAACAGTAAGTTTACTTGATTGATGCCCCCCCCCCGTTTTTCTTCAAGCTGGCATCGCAATACTAACTCCGTTCTTTAGCATCTGTCCTCCCAAGGTGTGACCGCAGAGCAGTGGGCTGCCTCCGTGTCTGAGATCATCGGCGGTCGCTCCGGCGGCAAGGAGCCCACGCGCCAGGGCCAGGGCACGAAGCCCGAGCACATTGACGATGGTGTTGAGACCGCTACCAAGTGGCTCAACGAGAAGCTGAAGCTATAATATCCCCTTCCCTCCTCGGAATTTGATTTATTGAGAAATATTGGGATTGTATTTTCTTATTGCATGTGACGCTGGGCAATTGTAGGGTTTGGGATCATATGGGAATGGCATAGGTGATGAAAACCGGGAGTATGGAGACCAAGGGGACGCACGTCCATCTAAGTCTGTTAGAAATGGGGACATTGTGATATCATAGGCTTCCCACACAAAATGAGTAAATAAAAAAAAGAACATCGAAGCAATAATCGTGATATCTTGTGATTATCCTGGATGAGAAGCCCCAATGTGTCCAGTGACTCTTATGTCGGACTTTTCCTATTCCTATTCCTATTCATACATGTGCATCTATATCTACAATGGCAAGGGAGTGCTGGAACTTAAGACGTGACGAGCGCTTCCCCCTTTTTATACAGTAACCATAACGCTGGCATTTCGGTAGTGTGACAGGAGTGGATTCTCTCCGCTGCGAGTCTCTGTATCCTCGATATATGCCCACCGCGCCATGAAGTCGCCATGGGCCATTACACGGGTAAGTTTCCCGGTGACGGCCCTGTAGATGGACTCGGTGATATTGAAGTCCGTGGGGAAGAGAATATCAAAGTACCCTTGGTGGACCTACAAATTCAGTGTTAGCGTCACATGTGAGAAAGGGACATGGGAAAAGGTAAAGCGATTTACGTACCAATGGTGTTGTAACAGGCACAGTAGTCCTCTTGTAGCGGGTTTGGACAACAGGAGCGTTCAAGCCCTTGATCGCCTGTGGAAGGGAGTGGAAGTCGGAGCTGAGGAGTCTGTGGGCGGGAAAGTACTTCTCAAGAACATCAAAGAACTGAAGTAGCCGGGTGGGGATGAACTCGGGATGGGAAAGGTTCGCGGCGAAGGGCATCTTGGTAGAGAGATATCGCAAGGCGGGATTTGTTGGGTAGGGTCTGGGATAATTTCCCGCTGTGGCGGCGTGTCTGACACGGAAGTATCTGGCCGCTAGGGGATCGAGATCGTGGACGTAGAACTCGTAAAAGTCTCCATCGCCATCAATGAGAACATGCCCCTGGAGGGGCTCCTCGGTTGCGACGTCATAACGAATTCCGTCATGTGCAAAGTTGTCAAACACCTCCATGGCAAGAAAGAAGCAAGGGGATGGAATGTATTGATTCCATTCGAAGACGGACTTGTTGATGATGTTCACTCGGTCAGTGTGGCCGCGGGATTCAGCCGTGGAAAGGAGGTGGTGCTTCTGCATCTTCGCGAGAGCCGGGGAAATCTCAATGATGTTGTATTTGGTCCTGGCGTAGACCTGGGGATCGATAGCTCGGATGAAGTCCAGAATGTTGAGCATGAGGGTTCCCCGACCTGCACCCATTTCGTATATGAGGAGATCATCATATGGGTAAGTAGTTAACCGGTAGTTGTCGACCAAGTACCGAGCGATGGCCTCGCCATAGTACGGCCTGAAGAGCTCGGTGGGAGTGTGCCAGAGCTGACGCGTGGGGTTATCACCGTCCCTATCATCAAGCATGTCTTCGAACTCTGTGTAGCGGTACCCTAGGTGGGTATTGAACTCAAGTTCGTCGCGCATTGATGTGAAATCGAAGGGTTCGCCAGGGCTGAAGATAACAGCCTGCTTTGAGAAATATCCATAGTGTGGGTTATACAAGCTATCTGGATAGTGAGGCTCAGGTGTTAGCATTCTTTGTTGAACAAACGCGCCTGTTCGAAAGAGAAAGAGAAAATGGAAAGAGGGGGGAGAGGATGGCAACGCACCGTCTATGAAATCTCTGAGGAGCATCCTCACTCGACGCGGCCGCTCCTTTCTCAACTTGAGGTCTTCTATAGTCAACTGCGGATATTGTGCGAACTCGGCAGAGCGGTCTTCGGGAAGCAGATTGGTGCGTTGTTGCCAGCGACTCTCGTTCGTTTTCATGCCGCGGTCTTTCGAAGCTCGAGGGCGACTCGCATACGAGCGGCTTTGGACGACGAAGCTGCCATTGGTGTTGCGGCGAGCAGCCTGGCGCAGGTTCTGAAGGCATCCAGCAGGCCTTTGGTGGAAAAGTTGGCGGAACAGCTGGGACACGAGGGGAGAATCCATTGTGAGGTCCGATTCTAGCGACAGTCTAGGATGAGCGGCCTCACAATTGCCGTACTCAGTTGCGGCACGCAGATGCGAGTTGGAGCTCTGAAGAATTGACGAATTGGTGTTTAGCCAATGGGGTTCGATGTGATCGGCTGACGGGATCTTCCGTTCCTGCTGCTTCTTTGGTCCCGATTTACGGCAGGGGCTGGTAGAGCTAACGGCGCTGTTCTGCACAGGCAGATAGACGGTAGAATAGAGAATAAACGTCTTGTGTAACGGACATGATAGAAGAAATCATGCATTGATTTATTGAAGGATTGCTCCTTCATACATTATAGCAATGAGCACTAAACAAGGCTTCTAGAAGCCATGGCCTCTCCTTACATACCAATATAGAACTACAGAGAAAACCCAATAGCCGTTACCGGCTGAACCATGACTAAATCCAAAAGGGCAATAGCTACCTACCTGCCAGCCCTGCCGTTATGCATGGCGATAGTCTTACGCCGCATGACATCAGTCGCAACTGTAACATTTTATTTTCATGCGAAATACCACAACGAACGCTCGAGCGTTTTGTGATATAGGGTGCTGACTCTCCGAACGTGGCCACCTGTGCCTCTCTGCTCTCTTGCGAAACACATTCTGGCTATGATGAGTTGCAGCGACTGAAAAAATCTTCATGGCACTAACAGACCATCCCAAGGCCTATGGCACCGCTGCCTTGGCTGTAGCCTTCACTGCAGGCATCCTCGTCACTCTCGGCTTCAAGGATCTCTACCCGGACCTAGAGGGCCGATACCAGCGCAAAAAAAGCTACCCTCGACTAACTGGACATGATGGCAATGAGAGAAGGCGCAGCAGCTTCTTCTGGGGTGCTCCAGTCGAGCTTGAGGATCACGAACCGGATCCCAGAAGTCCTGTCAATGGCGATGGTATCGAATCTTGCATTGGAAACACCCCTTTGATCAAGATTCACTCTCTATCGGAAGCTACAGGCCGCACTATCTTAGCCAAGGCCGAATTTCTCAACGGTGCGGGCAACAGCCCCAAGGACCGTGTGGCCTTGAACATGATCAAAGAGGCCGAAATAAACGGCCTGCTCGTCCCACACCGCGGAGACACAATCTACGAGGGCACTGTTGGTAGCACGGGCATCTCCCTTGCGACCCTGGCTCGCGCCAAGGGGTACAGGGCACATATTTGCATGCCTGATGACCAGGCCTTCGAAAAATCGGATCTGCTTCATCACCTAGGCGCCACTGTCGAGCGTGTCATTGTTGCGCCGATCACAAGCCCTGATCACTTTGTCAATCTTGCCCAACGCCGGGCCATTGAGCACGAGAAAGTTCACCAGGATGGCAGCAAAGGCTTCTTCGCCAACCAGTTCGAATCCGAGGCAAACTGGCGGGCTCACTTTGAGACGACAGGTCCTGAGATTCAGGAGCAGACAGGGGGCCGGCTCGATGCTTTTGTAGCGGGTGCCGGAACTGGCGGTACCATCTCGGGCGTGGCCAAGTATCTCAAAGAGGAGGCCAAGATCCCCAATGTTAAAATCGTCCTGGCGGACCCTCAAGGCAGTGGCTTGTATAACAAAATCAAATACGGAGTGATGTATTCGCCAACAGAAAAGGAGGGGTCCAGACGCAGGCAGCAAGTCGACTCTATGGTGGAAGGAGTTGGAATCAATCGCATCACAGAGAACTTTGAAGCCGGAAGGGACTTGATTGATGACGCCGTCAAGGTCACCGATGAGCAAGCCAGCAAGATGGCACGATGGCTCGTCGAGCACGATGGCATCTTCGTGGGTAGCAGCTCCTCAGTAAACTGCGTGGCAGCAGTGGTAGCAGCCACTTCTTTGCCCCCTGGAAGCAAAGTTGTCACATTTCTGTGTGATTCGGGGACGAGACATCTCAGCAAATTCTGGAAGCATATCAAAGAGATGGGTTTGGAGGAACAAGAAGCAACAGATCTATATTCAGAGCTTGGAATAGCGTCACCAAGCAAATAAGAAACTGGCATCAACACAAACACAAACGCGAATCAGAGGAAAAAGAAGAACAGCAACTAGAAAGTGAACAAATTAATGATACACCGATCTTTGTATCGATCCCTCAACTAGCGACCTTCACGGTACTCTTCCCCAATAACCCTCTACTCCAGACCAAATGGTAATCGTATGGGTATTCGTAGTTACTACACCTCGCTCCTCCAAGATCCTGCATAATTTCCGAGACTCCGAACCAGCCGTGCGACACTGCCATAATCGACATGAGCCCTAACTTACGAAATGAAAACGCCGTCGCCAAACTTGGTGCTTTAGATTTTTGTATTTTTCTTTTCTTTGCCCAATCAAGAGAACTAGATACTGATTAGCCTGGACGCCATGCAACTTGAACGAATTCGTGGAGAATCTCACCTTCCAGCGCTTGCCACAGTTCGTGCACTCGCAGAATGTGGTCATAGGTTCATCAGCACTACGGGTCTGAGCCTGAGTGTAGCTGACCTTCCTCTGCTTGCAGCGGCCGCACTCCAAACTATCACTGACACTCTTCTTTGCCATGCCAACCTGGGCCTTCTTGATGTTCTCCTTCTCGTACTCGACCTCGAGCTTGCGCTGACTCTCGCTCTTGAGCTCGTCGTCGGTCATGACCACAAACTTTTCAGGGCTGATAGACCCATCCATAACCCTGACGCCGAGCTCCTTGTTGGACTTGTTCTTCAGGTTGGAGAACAAAGATCGGATCTTCTTCTTGTAGTCGGCTGTCTCCCCCTTGAACTGAGAGAAAGCGGCCTGCTCGACGGCAACGGCCCGCGCGATCACGCTGGATTCGGATTCCGTGGAGCGGTAAGCCAGTCCATTGTAGATGAGGCCAATGCACGAGTTGCGCGTGTCGGAGCCGGTGCGCTTGATGTCCACTCCATCGGTATCGAACTTGCGCTTCTCGGGGTCGCCCTTGAAGGGCTTCTTGGAGTTTCCGTTCGGGGCCGGCGCGGCTGCTGGAGCGACGGTGGGCGACGACGCGGGCGCAGGCGCCGGGGAGCTTATCTTGCTCTTCGACTTCTTCTCCTGCTCGACGAGCTTCTTCCACTTGCCTACCAGCTCGGCTGCTGCGCGGGCGATCTCCTTGTTCGAATTCGAGCGCAGCTTTCCTACAAAGACACCTGCGCGGGTAGCCTGTACATATAGAAAAGATAGTAAGTTAGCGAGATTGTCACACGGTGGTTACACCCGACCCAAACGAGCGACCCCCTTGGTGCATCAGTCAACCCAAGGCGCCAGGCGCATAGGTCGGAAAACGTTCATCATCGGGCGGAAATCCGCGAGTCCCTAATGATAGAGATAAGGAAAGCTCCCTCTAAACATTTCCATCTGCAGAAATCGCAAGCTAAGGGGGGGAAAGCCGGAGGTATCGATCAAAGGCGAAAAGGATCAGGCACTACGCACCCGCAACATTTCCTCCGTGGGGGCAGCATCCTTTTTAAGGATCTCCAGGATCCGGAGGGCATTCTCAGGTGCCTCGTTGGCCGAAATGCACTTGGTGAGCTGTTTCACCTGCGACTCGAGCTCGCGTTGATCCATGATGGACGGGCAGCGCAAATCGAATGCGAGAGGACGGGGGAGAAGTTGCGAGAATCGCAGCCTGAGCGACCTTCCGGTGGTGTCATTGAGCGTCGACGTGCACGTGAGAAGTTTGGGTTTTACCGGGATTTAACCGTCCTGCCCATCAATAGGAGGCCACTACTAACACTGTAGAGATGAAAGACGGGGACCATCGAAAGCAACGCGGGATAAAAAGTTGTGCTTTTTGTGCGCTGCTGTTCTCCCAAGCTTATGAAGTATAGTAAGTTTGATGATGTGGTGTGTGAAATCCTAATTCGCACACTTGATGATTTAACCTGGTGTCATACACGACTTGAACAATTACTGCGAATGCCTTCACTCTTTCCAGGTAGCTTGTGTAGATCAACTCCATGGCATGAACTAAAACATCTTGATGACGGGGACGCATATATTGTGTCAGTGACCTAGGCTTATCTAGACGAGGTGTTTTGCGTCCTATGAGTATATGTTTTATACTTCGTTTGATCTAGGTGAAGCATACCCTAGATTTATCATCTAATTTCATCTATGACTTTCGGCGCAAGAACATGACCTCACTGGCATCCAAGCAGTGTGGTAAGGTAGAGCCTGGTGGATTTTATTCTATATGATTTATTTTGTTCTTGAAAACTAAATGTGATACATATATATTATCTTGTACGTTTCGTTTTTCCTCTACTTGGTTGTTCCGGAGCATCCACCTCTTCCTCATCTTCTTCCGCATCACTTATCGGCGTAGCATCCTTCGATGCGCTTCCAGCAGCGGCGCTCCGCTTTCGTTTGCCCGCGGCAGTCTTCTTCCGATCAGAACTGAGCACGATCGGGGTCTTTGACTTTAATTTGTCCACGGCGGCGAGCAGCCTCTTACTACCCTGCGCTCGCTGCCTGGGTGCAAACGCATCCCTCGCCCCTGCGCCGACGCTGCCCTCGAAGAACCGGGTGATGTTACTCTGTGTTCCTTCTAATTCACGTTTGTTCATGCCCCTGATCACGGGAACCAGGACCTCATCTGTCCGCTCCTTGTTCCACCCAATGGTTGCCATGAGGAAGTGCCGTAGGCCGTCGACATCCGGCACGCCCCACTGGAAGGGTTCGGTGCTGTCGTCAACCTCTGGATAAAGATATGCGTCGTACACGGCACTGTTTGGGAACCCCGTTGGTAGGAATAGCTTTGTCGCCTGGTTCTTCCGGAACCTTTTGCGGAACGGCGAGGATGCATCTGCGTCCTTTGGCCGAGTCTGAGACTGGACGGACATCCACCATTCTCGGAAGCTCTCCAGGCCGTCTTTCCCGGGAAATTCGGATAGGATCTCGACAGCTGTCACAGGGCCGACGCCGATTATGCCCTCCGTATAATCAGAACCAAGCAGTTGCGCGAGCGAGATGAGCTCCCCGCGCGAGAGCGAGAGCTCCTTCTCGAGGTCTGAAGCAATGTAGCATTCGACAAACTTATTCGTGCTGAACATGTTTTTGTAGACACGTGTGCCCCCGAACAGGAACGTGTCCGAATCATCTGTCACGATGCCATCGACAAGCCCCAGGCTCACTAGCTTAGCGCACTGAGCCTCGGCTTCCATTGGGGCGGTGATGTAAGGTATCCCAAACAGCCGCAAGAGGGCTTGGCACTCTGTGATCATCACCTGCGTGACCTCATCTGCATCTCGCCTGTCCTTTTTCTGTTGAGTTCGTAGCTGCCGTAGCTCTCTCTCGTAATCCTCCTTGTTCTGTTGAGCGGACTTTTGGTTGAGTTCGCTCGCAAATCTGGCATGTTCCTCTGCTTCCTCCGCCAGTTGTACCATTAGCTCTTCGTCTCCCGGGTCACTGAACTCATCATACTCCACGTCTGCAAAGAGATCGTCATCATCGTCAACATTATTTGTCCCGGCATCCGCTTGAGTGACGTTGAGATCTGCGATCGGGCTTTGGGCTACAGGCACGTCTTCGAATGTGACGTCTTCAAATTCTGGCTCTGGTGATTCCGATACTCGTTGCTCAGCTACACCGTCCGGTTTTTCCTCGACATGACTCTCTGTGACGTTGATGTCTTCTGGTTCCTTTGGCTCTTGGTTTGAACCGGGGCGAGTTGTTTCCATTTCATTTGCATCCGGTATGACTGGGGTTGGAACGACCTCCGGCGTTTCTTCCTCGACTGAAAGCGACTCTTTAGTTGGCTTAGATACCTCAGGTTGATCCTTGACATCCTGATTTGAGAAGTCGTTTGTGGCTTCGAGGCGGCTATCTGAATCGGAAGGTTGACTTTGAGGTTCAGGTGCTTTATGTTGTGGCGATTCGGGTTTCTCCACGATCTCGACAAACTCAACGTCGCTCTCCTCCCCAGAGGAAGACTCAATTTCAATTAATGTGTTACGCATTTCTCGCTCCCTAAGCCTTCGTTCTTCTTCCGCCTCTTGCCTGTCTTCTGTGTTGATGCTTCTCTCTGCGATCCGCTGCTGTTGCAGGGCATCCCTGATATCAGTAGTATCTGCTAGCCAAGGCGGGAGGGGTTTTGGCTTGTCGTCATCTTGCCTTTCAAATCCACCTGCAAGATCGTCCTCTGGGTCCCCGTCCTGTACTGTTTGCGAGGCGTTATGAGGGTCGGTTTCGGTGGGTTGGTTTGGTTTTGTTTTAGACCGATTGGAGAAGAGAGAGGAAAAGTCTAGTTTAGGGAAGGGCAGAGGGCCATCGAATGGATTTTTCTTGTTCTCGAGAATGGGTTTGGGGGGGCCTTGTTGGGGGTTCCTCTTATTTCGTGACTTGGCCATGATGGCATTCATATCCTCTTCACTATCACTTCCTGGATCCGCCCTTTCTTGTTTCTTCGGTACAGCAGCACTAGCTCGATTATTCACCACGTGTGCAATAACGGAGCCAGTACTTCCTGTGATGGCCCTCGCTGGCTCCACAGATCTTTGTGTCCATTTGGGCGCTGGCGCTTCTGGCTCATCTTCAGCCTCTTCAGGTGCAGATGTTCCAGCACCGTGTTGGCTCTGTAGAGAGAGAGCGATGGCTCTTTCTATGTCATCTGCTTCATCCTGGTGTTCGTACTCGTCTGTTCGTTGGTGGAGAATGCGGGCAGCTTCATCACTATGACCACCGACGAAGAGGGACTCTTCGCCCGCACCGCCGTCGATATTGGACTGCTCTTCCCGTTCTTGATAGAACTGTTGGCGCCGTATTGATATCTCGGTGGGTGCCTGAAAGCTCGGGAACGCCTCCGATCCTGGTTTTGGCAGGCGGTTGAAACCTTCGATTGGCACATCTTCAAACTCAACATCATCGTCTTCTTCTTCAGCATCCTTTGACTGATACTGAATCTCAATGGCATCGACATCAATTGGTTTGTGGGCCTCTCCAATGTCCTTCTCTTTGCTCACAACGCCCAAGGCCCATCCGCCTTCAACGCCATCGTTTTTCACAAGAATATACTCTCTGTCTTTGTCGCCAGCGATCCGGCCACCTCCCGTCAGTGTCAAGTCAATGCCGGTCATTCCAGCTTCGAGCATGAGACGCTGGGTGAGGTTGTTCCTCTCCTTCACCCTTTCAATCTGGAATCTTGAAAACGCCATACGATCGGGAAACATATCGTCGAGTTGCTCTTTGCTCAAACCCATACGAAGTCGACTACGCAGCCTCGCCGCGTTTAGGATGTTGTATCTATCAACAGGAGGCAGACTTTTGAAAAAGTCGCCATCGAAATCTATCTTGCTGAAGTCGTAGAGGTTGACGTCTTCTCCATTGTTGAACTGCCGGGCATACTCTTCCAGCTCCTCGACGCTCATGATACGCGGATCGTTTGGGTTTCCCATTGAGGATATGCTTCCCTCGAGCTCGGGGAGATGATAGGCATCCTGCTTGCGGAACTTGCGGTTTCGGGCTTGCTGCCGCTCCTGCTGCGACATGCCAAACTCCTCGGCGTACATCACATTTTCCATGTCCGGCAGCTCGTCCTGCGCCATCATCTCCTCGCGGGTTGCCACGTCGGCAGCACGTTCTCGCTTCCTCCTGTCTGCTTCCTCTTGAGCGATGCGCTGCATCTGAACTGCGAGGAGCTTGCCAGCAGTCTTGACGGCATCCTCCCGTCGTCCTTCACGGCGGCGCTTTCGCCCCTGGATAGTGGCTCTCTTGAGCGCGGGGGCGCCGCCGTCGAAGACGAACACGGGTAGGATGCCGACCCAGAGCAGCTTGCAGATACGTCGGAAGAAGCCAACGACATGGGAGTTTCGGAGAGCATTCCCCTCTTTATCACGAACGGCCTTCAAGAACTGATAGATCCAAATCGAAGCATCCACAGCTAGGCGCTTCCGATTGAGAGTCTCAAGGTTGGTTGGCCGCGCACAAGGCTGAACCACGGTCCAAAGGCCGTTCACACCCATGGTGAAGGAGGCTCCTCAGATACAAGCCTCAGGAGCTGAAGGATGTAAAAGGGAGGGTCGATGGTTCACGGCGTAAAGAACGCTACCATTGCGAAACCCCAGGTCTCTTTTGAGACGATGGTTCGTTCAATGGCACACACTATACGGAGACCGAGGTGTTATGAGAATGATAAGCCGTTCATAGCTTCGTGAGGCTGATGCAAGTTACATAATCCTCGAGGCCTTCGACTATGACGCACCTTGGGCAGCCCACAAATCTTTGAATTGGTCTTATCGTGGCTTATCTATTGGCTGTAAGCCAGTCATTCATTCTCGTCTCTCAACCTCTCATCTCACATTGTTGTGGCTTGAATTACGAACTTGATCATCGCTAATGTCTGCCTGGTCACGCCGTCGCAATGGAGAAAGATGAAGGCCAGGATTACCTGAGGTCATTATTGAACAAGGACATTCGGATATTGATAACGGATGGACGTATCTTCCGAGGAGCCTTCAAGTGCACAGATCAGGTGAGACTCCCTGCTACATGCCATGTCCTGTTTCTTCCTACGGATGCGAAGTGGAGGGCGCAGAGTATTTTTACTGATTCTGCTCGTGTTATTTTTAGCATCAAAATGTCGTTCTTGCTCAGACCTTCGAGTACCGGCAGCCCTCCGCACAGCAGCGCGAGGCAGCGGCGGCGGCAGCAGAGGCAGCGGGCCGCCCTCCTGCAACCCTTATGATGGATCTGACGTCAAGATATCTTGGTCTGGTCGTCGTTCCTGGACACCACATCATCAAAATGGAATTGGAGCAATTTGCCAGTCAAGTTCGAAATGCTCCAGCTATTATTTGATTTCTTAGACTTTAACCTGTATACTGCATTACAAAACCTCGGCATCTATGCCCGCCACTTGTCATCCAAACCCCAATCTGAGTCACACGATAACCTGCAACGAGATGCGCTTGTGAATCTCAGTATATTATACATGAAGAAATAGTTACTGGCATTAACGGGGAAAGCTTCTTAGCCAAAAAGAAATAGAATAAGCAAAACAGCCCATTACTCGAGTCGCATTCAACGTGAACTCCATCATTGCCCTATCCAACCAAGGTTTCCAATCATCATAATTACCTCCACTAAACACGTTTAATATGCCGTCGTAGCGCCGCAGTTTTTTTATTTGGGACATGAATTGCGATCGCTTAGGCGACGATAGCCTCCTGAGTACGGCCACGGCTCTCCCCATTCAGACCTCCGTCGCTACCAAGAATGGAGTGGCGGTGATCCTCCTCCTCATCTTCATCTTCCTCGTCACTTTCAACATCAGCACTGCGTGCAACCCATGAGCTGCCGTCGTTGAGAGGGGCATCTTGAGCCGACAAATCATGACCCTCATTTCGGGCGTTGATATTGGATCGCCTGCGCTGGGACAGGGTGCGGGAGCGGGTAGAGAGCTTGGAAGATACGGCGGCGTTGGCAGTCACCCAGTTTGTGAGAGCGTCTTCGCAGTCTTGAATGATAGCTTTACTAGCTTCGTATCCGTCATAGGCTGCGCGAGTCTCACCTGGGGTGACCGGCGTGTCGTCAATGAGCTCGAGGAGATGCTTTCCATACCCGGCAATGACGGCGACCTTTTCGCAATGCTCCCGGAGGGCATCGAATTGGTATGTGTAAGCTGCCTTGATCTTTTCTCTGGTAATGTTGGACAGCTGGGCTTCAGCGACGAGGGATTCGGCTTCAGCGCGAACCAATTCCTGCTCTAAAACGACAATCTTGGGAGAATTGGGTTCCTTATATTTCAGCTGGGCAATTTGGTCGGTGATCTTTTGCTTTCCTACTCATTGAGTCAGCGCCAATTTATCATGTTAAATGGTACGATTGTTTGTAACGTACGGTCACGGCTAGGCTGGACTGAAGCCTCAATGTTGCGGATACTTTTGACGGTAACACGGTATTGGTCGTAGCGGTCAACGTATTGGTCTTCAAGTTCACCAATCTCATATAGCAGCACTCCCAACTTGTCGGTAACGTCGGAAACGTCTTCGTCGCCGGATTCTCCCCACAGAGATATTTGTTGCTATACGAGAGTGAGAAAAGGTCATGTGGTGGATATTCCGCAGGGGGAAATAGACTTGTGCGTATGACTTACAGCTACCTCCATGCGCTCCTTTGCAACCTGCTCCATACTTCGCATCACATTCTTTTCCATCTTGACGAGCTGCGACAGCTTCTTGGAGAGGTCGGGCCCGAAGGCACCACCAGCATTGCGACGAAGTGCATGGCCTGGATGTAACCTGTCAGTAGGGTGTATATGGAGTTGGCGATACAAGAACAAACATACCCAGGCTGCCCTTGAAGATACGGCCGGACTTGGTCGAGGACGGAGGTGGCGGTGGGTTCTACACCAAAGCGGTCAGCATCGCCTGGAGGGCCCGGAGAACATTTGGGACGGTGACAAACCTGCAATTGAGAGGCAGTAGGCGCCCTTGTCTGGCGCATGGAATATGTGCGATGCATGATGATGATGATGAGTGTTGTTGTCGCGAGATGTTACGAGTGGACGAGTGGGTTGTCCCGGGTGATCAGCACTGCAGGTGGAGCAAAAGAGGATGCGAAGCAACGGAAGGAGGGAATTGGAAAGTCCAGTCGGAAGATCAATCTGGGGTGTTGCTCGAAGGAGAAGATTTGGGATCTGGGAGGTTGGAGATGGAGAAGCGGAAACGCACGGGAGATGGCAAGATTTAATAGATGCTTATGAGGTCAGGTAGTGATGCTTCGCTCTGGCGTGAAGAGTGGCAGGATCCTCTGTTGGGGGGTCAGCTACGTCATCTTTCGTCCAACCAGAGCCTAAAGCGGTTGGTGGGCTCATTCGCATTCTAGCTCAGTTGGCAGTGTGATTAGTCTCTGTGCCGCCAAGAAATGTACCCGCTACCTCGATATCATCACATCACATACATTTGATAGCGGAAGCCACAGCGGGAGGAGAGTGGCTTCCATGCTTCAGTTCAAGTTCCGGATAGATGAAAGAGAAATCACTCGAAACGTGGAGATAATGGTTCGAATCGCGCAGTGATATCTATTGTTTCCGATGCGACGTATCCAAACTGAGGCATGAATGCGACAATCCTCAAACAGCCTGTTCTACGGTACTAGGTACATACTAAGCTACCTGATACTAGCGTTGCCTCAATCTCTCTCAAGCCGAAGTCGCCTATCACGAACCCCGACCTACGTCGGTGCCAAGTATGTACCGCCATCTTGACATGAAAATCGTGCTACTCAGGGAGCTGTTGAGAGGTACTCTGCGCCCATAATGGTTTTGTGAAAACGGGAGGTAGTAAGCTCTCTTGGCGACTGCAAGACGAGGGCTACCATCACAGGAACCCCCATCGCATATGAAAATCGACATGTGCCTAGCGAAGCGCTGTGGTCTGTTGTCCGTTCCTGACCTGATGTCGTTCATGCCTCTACATGGTTAAGACATTGATCGGGGCCGGCATTCTCAAGACCCAGTGATCGGCTGGGCTTCGAACATCTTCTCCAGACCTGCAGTTCTCCAATGGCTGCTCCGGATTGGCCGTCAGCAACGTATTTCGAGGTCTGTCACTGAAAAGCCTAGACCTAATGCGGACGGTAGGCTAGAGATATGGACTCTGATGACGATGTTCAATTGACATACTTCACACTTGGCCCACTGTTCACTTTCGTCATCCAGGCTCCCCTTTGAGTTTTGCTCTGGTCCTCGAACTGGCGCCGGTGGATCAGCGCGATCGGATTCGAAAAAGCCCATGCTTTTACATCCACATGGCAGCCAACGCGCTCAGGGTCAATGTTGAATGTGGAGCTGGAGGGACTGCATGCTCGATGTTCTCTGTAGGCCTCCACAAGGAGGCTCCGGGTTTTAGACCATGCAGTTAGTAATCAAACTCGCCAATGCTGTATGATGAGAAGCACGATAGGTTTCATGGCTTCCTGATATTTTTGACGCGTTAGTCTGGGCCAACCGGGTAAACGAGTCAGATCTTGCACCCGATCGCGCTTTTTGAGTGATGCGGCGGCGCGTTGAGTTGGAAATTAGGATTACATAAGCCCAAATTCAACTCGCATCCCGATGCGCTTCCAGGTGATTAACCTTCGCCAGAATCGCATCCCGAGAAACAGGCCATCCAAGGCCATTGAATAATCCTGACGGCTCTGCGCCGACCAGCTGCGCTCGACATTCCCTTTAATTCTTCTTTTCTTTGCACTTTATTTTTCTGTACTTTTTAGGATTTTCCCGCTTGGTTAACCGTGGCGCCTCTGGGTCGTGTTTACACACGTGTCGCGCATCCGGTTTGAATTTACAGGGGGACAGAACAACAGTATGCAATGCTTATCTAACGTGCAGAGGCACCATTGAGCTGGAGGATACTTGCTTCATCTCCATACCAATATAAGTATTGGCTTTACTTGAGCTCTCGCAGAATTGTGTGTTCAAGAGCCAAGCCAGAACAAACTGCAAGATCTGGCATTGCTGGGCGGCTTGAGGACCAATTTGCGGACATAATTTTTGGTCCAACCTTCATACTGGGCTTTTCTTCTTCTTCATCGTTGAGATTTTTGGTTTGCTCGATTGCTTCTGAAAGCCATTGATCATGGCTCGTGAGGGCAAGACCGCGTCGCCTGCCAAGCATGGCGCGGATCTGGGCAGTCGGATGCGGCCTCAAAACTCGCCCAAAGCCTCCCCCAAAAAGTCGCCCAGAAAGTCACCGAAGAAGCCGAAACCACAGCAGACCTACGGAACTAACGGGACGTCGGATGGTGTTTCGAGATCCAAAGTGATTGGTCTGGGTTCCTCATCCAAATCCGCGCCGCCCAAGATGCTACCTTTACCTGTCATTATTGCGCGCTTGGGTGAATATAAAAAGGAGATGGGAAAGACGCACGATCAACTAGCTAGGTACACGGTCGAGTCGACGACGGTGGTCGATCGACGCGTGCACACTGGCAAGGACCTTTTTGGCGCGCTTTCTGAGGATCCTTCACCTGGGAATGGTGGGATGAGTCTGAAGATCAAGATCAAGGTGAATTTTCCAAGTGTCCAGGATCAATACGCACGAGGCTGACAGTTGTGGGTAGAATATGGACAAACAGCTCCAACGCAAAGATCAGAGGGATGCCTTGAAGGTAACCCCAATCAAAACCGTCAAGGCGCCAGTTCCACGTTATTTCAATCACCCAGTACAGATTGGGAATAACGTTGTAGCGCCCCAGACTCCCATGGCATTTTATCCGCACAAAGGTGATCTTGACACTCCTCGCAAGCAAAAAAAGTGGAAGGGATACATCAAGGACCTTGATAATTCGGAGGCTTCCCATGGGCTAGATTCCATCAAACTGGACGAGAAACGCCCTACTATTATTCACTATGAGAGGGTTGTTTCAATCGCGATGTACCTCGAATCTTGGTTGAAAGAGTTGGCGCTGCCTGACGTGAATAAATGGACACTTCTCCTGCAGCTGCATAAAAAGGGCCCTGAAAAGCCTCTGACAACTGAGCAGTACGAAGCTATCAAAACTGCCCATGTCAGAAAGGACTTTGATGTGGGGAACTTTGAAGCCGGAACTACTTTCCAGGCAGCATGGAAACGTGTTTTCGGAGAGGAGAAGACTAGGCATGGCATCAGAATCAGAGAGGTTAGCCTTCTTGAGGTGCTGCTTTATGACAAAGAACTCAAGGCTTTTGTTGATTCTGATGATAATTCTGATGAGTCTTCCCCATCCAGCCCTCAAACTCCTTTCAAAGGGTTGGAATCGACCCTTCAAACATACTCCTCTTTGGGCTGTTTAATCTGTTTCAAACACTCCTGCGAACATGGCTTCTTCACGGACGGCAATGAAAGAAAGCGATTTGCTCTTGAAAAGGGTTGGCTGGCTCGCCGGCTCACAGAAAAAAAAGGACGGAAGATGCTGGAGAACAGGAATAAGATGACAAATGGAGCGCAACTAGAAAGCCCTTCATGCGATCGCAAGTGCTACATCACGTATAACCCAGTTGCGAATGGGGTTTCTGGAAGCACATGGACCGATGCAGAGCGAAATGTTCTTCGCACGATCTTCATGTCTGCCTCCTGCAGCCTGATTTCCTCTGATCCAATATGCCAAGCCGCGGTTCTGCTGGACCGCGACTGTTTCGAGGTCCACCGGGAATACCAGACTCTCGGCATCTCACTCCCCAAAGCACCAGCGAGCCGGGTTACAGAAGACGATGACTCAGAGGAAGACGACGAGGTCCCCAACCTATCCTGGTATAACCGTTTTGAACATAAGCTCTCTCGACGGCCCGGGGCGGGCAGGTATCATACACCTAACTGGGATCATATTAACCGAGATATTGATGATATTTGCGCCCTCCGTGGCTGCGACCACGATGGGCCATGCTCCCCAAGCAACGACAAATGTCCCTGTGCCAAAAAGGGGCATTTCTGCGAGAAGTTTTGCGGGTGCACCGTTGAGAACTGTGCCTACAAATTCACAGGATGCGACTGCGGTCTACGTGGCAAGCCTTGCCACATGAAGGGCGAGGAATGCATTTGTGTCCAGCTGAACCGGGAGTGCGACCCTGACCTGTGCCATTCTTGTGGCGCTTTCGAACGGGCAGATCCCAAGAATGCGCGGAAGACGGAGTTGCTCGCCACTGGCTGCCAGAACTGTTCGTTGCAGCGCGGCTCTACAAAGGATCTCGTGTTGGGGAAAAGTCAGTTCCATGGCTATGGTCTTTACTCCTCCGAAGCTATTCGCAAAGATGAATTCATCATTGAATACGTCGGCGAGCTGGTGTCTGGTGAGGAGGGAGATCGTCGATATATCAGGAGGCAAAATCTCTTTGATGGGACGAAACCTCTCTCCTTCAACTTTACCCTTCTGAAAGAATGCAATGTCTGGATCGACGGAGCGAGATATGGAAATCTGAGCCGTTACGTCAACCACGCGGATGGCAGCAGTCAAAAATGCAATGTCACCCCAAAGATCTTGCTGGTCAACGGATGTTTCCGCATCTCTTTCCGTGCAAAGCGCAACATCAAGCCGTGGGAAGAACTTCTTTTCGACTACGGCGAGGACTTCGGTCTTGGTTCAGACAAAGCGAAGAGGAGAAAGAAGCGAAAACAGGACGATGATGAGGATGAAGATGAGGATGACGAGGACGAGGATGAGGAGAGCAGCAATCACAGCTCCGACGAGGCCAGCAACTCGGAATCAGATGAGGATTTCCCAATGGAAGAGCCAGAGCGACCAAGCCTCAAGCGAAAGCGTGCCGAATCAGAGGATACGGAAGAGGAATATGCACCGAGTTCGGAGAACAATAGAAGTCCCCGCAAGAAGAACGGGGGTGGATCTGCGGAGACAGCGCGGCAAGCACGTCGGTCGCGCAATGGGAAGGGAGGGTCGAGCAACGGCGCAGCGCCAAAGGTAACCACTCGCAGACCGGCGAAATCCAGCAAGGAGACGCAACGGCCACGCGCCCCTGGGCGGGAGACTTCCACCTCACAGTCTGAGAGCTCGGCCTTGGCAGAAGAGCCCAAGGCCAAGAGGCCGCGGCTCAGCCAACACAAGGTCATCAGCGACAGCGATGAGGAGCAAGAGTCTGGTGGTGATGGCGATGAGATGGAGGGAGGGGAGTCATCGGCAGGCGACGAGGACGATGAAGGGTCCTCCCAAGACGAAGACGACGAGAGCGAAGATGAATACGACAGGAGGGAGAAGTCCACTCGGAAGCGAAGGCGACCAGCCAAGTTCAAGGACGATGAAGTGTATGCCTTGGGCTCTGGGAGAAGGCGCCGTGCCACGGACAACAGCCCGCAGTGAGAGAAGACCTCTGGCTTTTTACATACATAATAAGGTGTTTCCCCGTACTAGGTATTGAAATATAGTTTTATCATTCACTTTCATTAATTTAGACAATTCTGTATAATTAGAAAGGCCAGTTTGCTGCAGATTGACATGATATTGCGTGGTATGTTGTGGCCAACATGCTATATCCAAACTTGCTGTGCTGTTCAACAAGGTTCAAGCTGTCGGCTGTCGTGGCCTCTGGTTCTGGGCCTGGCTGCCAAGTGCGTACGCAGGGTAGAGATGCCGGACCCAGCAGGCAAGTGCCCACCAGCACTAGTTGCCTGGTAGCAGCTCGCTGGTGGGACCATCCTGCCCCACCTCGACAGCTTCAGCCACCACTGGCGATGACGTTGTTGATCTGGCCTCAGGTGGTGGCCTTTGCATGCCTGCCCGGACGAGCTCCTACAAAAGCCTCCAGCCTCACGCAAGCTTCTGAGACAACGGCACTCCCTCCATCTCTTTCCGATCTCACATCAGTTTCTCCCAACAACCACAAAACTTCCAATCCGCACGCTTCTCGTCCTCAGCACCTCGAGAGCACCGATCAATTGTCTGCGTTCGTCGCTGGTAGATCCAGCCCCGCCTTCACCATGACGCTCTACTACACCCTCGTATGCTCGCCCACCACGCATGCCCAGCCCAGAGGTGGACGCTCCTTGCTAACCGACGACAGGTGTTTATGCTACTGATGCTGGAGATGGCCCTGTTCATGCTCCTCATCGTCCCCCTCCCCTTCACCCTCAAGCGCAAGATCTTCACGTATGTCCCCAACCCTATTCCGGGCTCCAGCACGTGAAGGCTAACAAAAACCTCTGAAGCTTCATCTCCGAGAGCCCCCTTGTCGCCAAGATCCAGTACTGGATGAAGATCTGTTTCGTCTTCATTCTCATCCTCTTCCTCGACAGCGTCAACCGGGTGTACCGCGTCCAGATCGAGCTCATTGCCGCTACGGAGAATGCTAATAAGGGAGGGTACGTCACACCAGCCTCACCCACATACCCCCCCCATCCCCAATCCACCCCAAACCAGAAAGCCACCCTTGCTAACGGATATTTCCTCAATCAGTGCCGGCGTCATGGGCCACGAGCGTCTCGAGGTCCAGGCCCGCAAGTTCTACTCCCAGCGCAACATGTACCTCTGCGGCTTCACCCTCTTCCTCTCCCTCATCCTCAACCGCACCTACGTCATGATCCTCGAGGTCATGCGCCTCGAGGAGAAGGTCAAGTCCTACGAGGGCACCACCAAGTCCGACACCGTCCAGAGCGAGAAGCTCGCCGTCGCCGGCAAGCCGGGAGAGCTGGCGTCCCTCAAGGAGAAGCTCGAGAAGAAGGAGCGGGACCTCCAGAACCTCAAGAAGCAGAGCGAGCAGCTCAACAAGGCGTACAGCGAGCTCAGCGACAAGTACGCCGAGACCCAGAAGGACTACGAGAGCTCAAAGGCTAAATAAGCGTATTGGCGAACGACCACGTGCTCGATCTGCCGTCTTGCTTATTGATCCCTGGCTTGTCATGGTATTAGCCGAGAGAATATCAGTCCGGGGTCACTTTGATGCAGGGTCGGAGCTTTCTTAAAAACAAAAGATGATGCAGAGAGGAAAGAAGGTAGCAAGAAAAGTGGAGGGAGGGGACGATCGTTTCATTGCCACAGTGTGAAGATCCGATCGGGATTGTGAAACGATGCAAGGCTGTGTTGTATTATGCGTCTTTGGCTGCTGAATCCAGTCGGCTATAATCATTTCTGTATCTAACAACTATGAGAAGAATTCTCTGAACATCCACACTTCCTTGAGATTGTCCCAAGCCTCGATGAATATTCAAGATTAACTAACTAGAAGTGCAATTAAAGGACATTACTATTAGATACACAATTTTTCCTCAGCCAACCTAATTTTGATACCTGTCGGGGAACAAGATGTTGTTCGCCCTCTCCAAAAGATCCTCCTCCAGATCATCGGCCGCGTCGTCCTCGTCCCAGGGCAACAATCCCATGGCGCGAAGTCCCCTCTCTCCTCCCACTTCGTTGACCTCGTGGACTCCCGGGCGATCCATGAGGATGCTCTCTCCTTTTCCACAGTTGGCCAGGTCTGGTCCGGGCTGTCCCAGGAGAAACGCCTTGCGCTGGCGGGCGAGATACAGGGCGTTTGACTCTGTCAGCGGGCAGACTGGAAGGTACATGATGGCAGCATCGCCACCCCCTGCACCTTTGGTGTGCTCAATTGAGTGGATTGAGTCGCAGTGCCAGACAAAATAATCTCCGGGGTTGAGGGTCGGGATGCGAACCATGGTCTTGGAGAGCTGAAGGTGCGGGTGTAGGGCGTTGCTTAGCTCCTGCCTATAAGAGGAGGCGGGAGGGATTGAAGATGAACCCGGAGGATTCAAGGTCCAGTTCTGCGCCGACAAGAATTCCGGGGAGGTGGGAGAGGAATTGATTGGGGAGAAGAGAGGGCGAAGCAGCACATAGGCAGTGGTGGCTTGGAGCATCGGACACAGACGCAGCGAACCCTGGCCTTCGGGGAGAGGGCTCAGAGGAAGCCATCCTTGAAACATGCGAAACATTGAGCTCGAATTGCGGTTCTGGGCAGAGTGCTTCGGGGTCTGGATCCTCGTGGTGCTATCCCACGGGTCATAATTCTGCCAGTTCCCCTCCCAGATTTTCTTGTAAGTAAATGCTTCACGAGAATCATCTGGGCACCAGCGATCAGCACTGTCTCCTTCAATGGAAGGCCTCAGAAGAAAGCTCGAGTCTGAGGATTTCCTATAGCGAATACGGTCCGCATAGCTGAGGGGGTAATTGTGCGAAATAGCGGCCGTGTGATTGGACGAGCTCCAAATGCTCATCAGAAACTTTTGTGAAGCTAGGACATTTGGGTGAGCTCGGCATTTGACCTGCGCTGGAGACCAGTAGACATCGTAGAGTTGAGGGTCCTGTGCAGAGCTGCTGGCAAGTGAATCGTCGCCTGCGAGGTAAGCCTGAAGCTCGCTATTCCATGTTCTAGCTTCGCTCTCGGAGATTACTCCGCGTATTACACCTCCACCACTTCTCCGAAGCTGGCAGGAGAAGTCCTTGGCCCGGGATTTGTTCTTGAGATCGTCGAAATGAATCGAAGGGAAGATTGCTGGTCCAGCCCTAAGGGTGAGCTCGATCTCAGATCTGAGCTGTTCCAGAAGCAGCTTCCATGAAGCAACCAATGTGTCGTCTTTCCCACGCATTAGCATATCTCTGACTTTGGAATGTCGGCGTGGAGGGGGACACCCGAGGTCTGGGGATAGAAGGGGCATATTGAGATAGATTGTCCCTCGGCAAGGTCATATGATATGATATTCCTTTTAATAAGAAAAATAAAGAGAGGGATTCTTGCGGCCCATGTAAGAGCGGCAGTAGTGACTTTGTGGGGCAGAAAGGAAATCAAATCCAGAGGAATGAGGAGCAAGGCAGGGAGGGTACATTAATAGAGCAAGCGAAGCTTTGAGGCATTGGTCTGGGAGAGAGAAAGATTGGCACACTGTTTATATGAAGTAGTTGGGCTATGTTTTATTTGTCTCTTGACACCCCCATGGGTTGCAGTGCGTGATGTGAGGAACGCCAAGCCATGTCACCGATGCATCTCTCATGAGATACGAGCATGGACATTGCATCGAGGCCTGGGGGGGCAGGCTTCTCGAACGGTTCAGATTAGAACTCGACTCCGACGGGTATTTGCCTGCAGCGGAGATGTTTCTTGAATCATCTCGAGAAGCAAATCGCCATTTTGATGAACAATATCTGGGTAGTGAGCACCCACAGAGATTTTGAGTTTCGCGAATGCGGGCCGTGGAGCCGGAGGTGAGCACAGGCAGAGCACGCAACCCATGGAACCAATTGGAGATTTGGTGTGAGGGCAGTAGGCCTGCCCAGCCCACGAACCATGACGTTTTAGCTGCCCCCAACCAACTCCCACCGGAATTATGGGGTATTCTAACGGTTTTCCAATATATTGCCTTCTTGAAACCCCTACGCTATGGTTGGTGCATGGCACGCCGGTCTACGATTTGATTCTCTTCGATCGCCTGACGGTCGCCTTGGTCGTCGGGTCAGGGCCAACGGTTTCCTTTCGCTTCGCTGACACGGACTTTGAACCGATTGGCTTGGTGCCTGAGGAGTCTGGCTTGGCATCATTGCCAGGGTGTCTCATTAAGACAAAGGCCACCTTCTCAATGTCCGTGGCAGATACTCCGAGTCTTCCACTAAGGGCTTCTGCATGCTGACAAAGCTCTTGGTACTCTTTGACGTTATACTTGATGGAGGGTTTACCCCCCTGGGCGCATAACCAGTAAAAGGCTTCGTCCGAGAAAAAAATCACATGCTCCGGATCATGGACAGATAACAAAAGAGAGGCGGTTGCGGGGCCAATCCCTTTCAGCTTGGTCCATTTAGCGAGACTTGCAGGGATTGACTTGGTCTCCTGGTAGAGCTGAGTTGCCTCCTGTACGATTTCATTTACAAAGTCGTTGGGATTGGAGGAAACCAGGCTCATCAGGGTTGGACGAAATTTCCCATGGCGACTATCAAGCAGTTAGCATCCAAAAACGAGATATCCGTAAAGGTATGGGTGCATAGGGTGGATGCAGGTAAATCAGGTTGCTCAGGGTGGACTGTGCATGTACTACAACATCGGGGAGAGTCTGAACCGCTGCCGTGCTGCGGATCAACAGCCCTAGATGCAAGAATGAACTGCTTTCAGCAGCATTCGAAAATGACAATGTCTTTGCGAAAGCTACAATGCAGGGAGGCTGCATTTCGCGAGGCGTCATGCATACGTACAGTTTCCACTCAACCAGAGCCTTGATAGCATCAAGGTCCATGACAGAGCCGTCGCCATTTGGTGAAAATAAGCCGGGCGCCGTATCGTAGCGATATTGGTCGAGCTCCTGCAAAGATTTCTGGCCTGGTTTGGCTACGAAAAAATATATGCGTCAACTCCAAGCTGGTCTCTCGCGGACGCACCTTTAAGTGCGCCTTAAGCTCATCATCTACTTGAGCAGGATCAACATACCCGGCTTGGAGGCTGAAGTGGCTCCAATGACAGAGGGATACTGGGCCAGGTGTTGATCGAACTCGTTTTTGGAAATTGTATCGGCAGAGATCATCTTGACGATGAGCTGTTCGTTGGCGTGAGAATGCAGGTTATCATGCAGTGCAGACGGAGGTGGGCCGCCAAGATTCCACGAGTTGAATGGCAGGCACAGCAACGGCGCAATACTACCACGGTGAGCTGCAAGTGACTGTCAATTGACACGATGGACGGAGCCCTTTGCTAGGTAGGTGATGATGGACATGAGCAGTATCCTGGCAATGGACACGGTATATGCCGATGGAGGACAGATAGGGAAGGGCGCAGCGAAAGGGAGCCTCGGGGAGTCGGTGTTGGGTTCTAATGTTAGGTGCTGAGCGGGACTGCACTGGAGTTGGAGGTTGGACGTCACCCCACCTGCATGGTCCCGGCCCAATCAGCTGCCCTCCTGCCGCGTATTAAGCACTTTTCAGCTGCTGTCTGGATCGCACCTTCCTGCTCGAGGTCCGTATTGTCACCATTCCGTGGATTAAGATGCAGATAAGAAATGCTACGATGCACTTTCCAGAAGAGAGAAGGAGGGAGGGAGGGGAGAGGGGAAAGACGCCCCGGGCCCGAAAAGGTAGTCCTCGTCAATCGCTGCGTCGATGTTGATGAGGTGTCTTGTAATAACCCACCCCGGCACAGCGTCACAGCCGTGGAAACCTCGCGAGGACATTAGGAATTCAATACTCCTGCGTGTCATCCAAGCAACCGGGGACATACTCGGGAAACTATTCGGAAATCGAGCCTGCGACCAGTACTGTGAGATAGCTGAGGGCAAATGATAAATACCGTAGTAATAATACACCACATATTATCGTCTCATATCGGTTTATGCTGACGTATCATTCTGATCATCGGAGAAAGTCGTCTGCGTATAGCCACCCCTCAATTGGATGTCTCACATCTTTTATCGCCCAGTTGCTTCTTCTAAAGGACATTTAAATGGAGACGGGACTTGGATGCTAGCTCTCGGGTGATACCGACTTAGAGTCTTGGGCGTTTAGGCGATTATTTTCCAGGGTCCAGCTCCCGGGCTCCGCGGTGAGTTCTCGATTCGGAGGGCAGCAGATATTACCCACTGAGTGAAACGGGCGGTACCGCCTGGAGACGGATGGACCAAACTTGACCACTCTGCGCAGATCCCGCTTTTTTTTTCCTCTCTCAAGATACTCCCTCCATCTCTTTTGCATCCCGAGCCAGTCAACCGCCGCTCTTGTTCGTGTCGCTTGTGACTAATAGTACGATTATCTCTCTCCCCATTCCGAAATTACCGAGATTTCGACCACCAGCCATCGCAACCATGGGTAACGTGAGTGGTTCTGACTAGTCGCTTGGCTGTGCTCTCCAAATTGCTCACAAATCCTATCACTGCCAGGGAGCCAAGGCACAGCAGAAGCGCGAGCGCGCCCAGAAGGACGGCAAGACTGCCAAGTCGCAGCTCAAGGCCGTACGTCAACCCTACTCCAACTAAGACATCCGGCCCGGATTTGACTGACACTCTTCACCCACACAGAACCAGCAGGCGTGCGACATCCAGTGCGTTGTCTGCAAGTCGACCTTTCTCAAGACCACCAAGGCCCCTGCGTACGAAAACCCCCCTCGTTTCTCCGTCCAATAGCCGAGTTCTTCCAGGAGCCGACTAACCAGTGCACAACAGTCTGACCGAGCACGCCGAGAACAAGCATAACAAGACGCTTGCCGAAGCGTTCCCCTCCTTCGAGGAGCAGTAACATTTTATGTTAGAAGCACGGGGGGATGGCATGGCGATTGGCGTAAGACACGTGGTGGTGGGTGTGTGCATGAAATTGAACCCAGGGGAGTTTGTGCACGTATAGAGCAAGGCGTTTTTGAATGTAACGAAGAGCTACGGATGCAAATGTGATCAAGAACCTAAGCCAAACAAAAAAAAAATCAAGAAAGACATGAATGATGCTAGCTATGATGACGACAACTCTCCGGTCAGGCTCCTATCTCAGTGGGCCTCTACGGCCTGAGGAGGGACGTCGATTCCCGGGTTGCTGCTCGTCCCCTTCTTATCTTTGGCCAGGGCCGCCTGCTCCTCGCGAATGCTCTTGAGGATATCGGGATACCACCGCTCGCCCACGTCCGGATGGCTCTTGACCCTATTCCGCAGAGTGGCCTCGCCCAGCGTCTTGGAAGCACCCCCCGTCCTGAAGGTGAACTCCACATCGTCCAGCCTGCCACCGTTGCGTTCGACAATCCTCCGCCGCTGCTCCTTGATCCTGTCGGGGACGGCGCCAACGCCGACCTTCTCCAGCTTGTCAAAGTCCGTGTCCAGGTCCACCCCTTGAAAGAATGGGATCGAGAACCGAGGGCCCGAGCCCGCCGCGGGCGACAGGACGCGATGCGTCGTCGAGACGCACACGCCTTGGGTCAGGGCCTCGAGGCCCTGGCCGATGGCCACCACCACCGTCCCCGGGACAGGCGGACAGTCGATCCACTCCCCCTTGACGTTCTGCACCTGTAGGCCCCTGTGCTCTGAGGCCTGCAGCAGGTAGCTCGACAGCATGCTGTCCTTGTGCGGCCCAACACCCTGGCCCTGGCCCTGGCCCTCCTTGCCAAGCTCCCCAAGGTCCGGGTACTTGACAATCTTGAGCTTGTGGTGCTGGTCCTCGTCAAAGTACTTGTCGAAGGCGTCCCTGGGGAGGAGGATGGCCTCGGCGATGAGCGACGTGAAGTAGATGGACATGTCGCCCATCCGCCTCATGTACTCGGTGTAGGCGCTGCGGAACCCGGGGATTACCTCCTCTGCCGGCCACTGGTTGGGGCCGTGCAGGTTGTGGTGCCGGGGGGATCCTTCTGTAGGGAGGGCATGCTCGGTAGCGAGATCCAGCTGCTCGCGATGGTCAATTTCGCCGGCTGTGATCTCTGCGGACAGCTGGGAGTAGCCCAGGAATGAGCGGGCATTCTTCATTTCAATCCTCAGCCTAGACATGGGACGATTCCTGATCAGCGCCTGCTTGTCTGTACTACTCGCGTGGGTAATAAGCGAGCCACTTACTTTTCTTCCCGTGGGATGTCGAAGAAGGACTTGCCAAGGCTTATCACATCTTGGAAAAGTTCTTCTGCCTCGCCTATATTCTTCAAATAGAGAAACCCGACTTCCAACAAAGCATGCCGGAGCTGGGTGAGAAACTCCGGCTTTGTTGCCGGGTCATTGGCCTCCGACAGATCTAGAATAGGAACAGAGGTAAAGGACATAGTTAGTTGCCTTGTGTTAGCAATGGCTTGCAGGGTTCAGGTTGAGATCAGAGACTATGAGATGGATGGGTGGTATTGTGGCGTGAAGACAACAATATGAATTATCTGCTTCTCAACTAGTTGTAGCAGGTTTTATTTACAAGTCAGGCGATCCCACATGGCTTCGGGAATATATGGCGTACTAGCTACCAGCAGATTGCGCAATCGGCGTGCCCCTCCACCCTCTTCACTCCGAGAGAAAACAAGCTTCCCCACACTTGATGATAGCGGCATCGAGTTCTACCAACCAGACGGAGGGTTCTCTCGGTTATTTTGACAACGCATGAATTCTCATCGCTGTTCCGCCACCAACGGCTTGGCTGCGAGAAGCCCCGTGACCTTGTAAAACATGTCCTCGATGGACGGTGCGGCGAAAGCCGGCGCAGCATCAAAGATGTCTGCAAGGTGTTGGGATACCACAACACTGGAGTAGGTATCATCATCATCTTCTTCCATTCCAACGTCTTGGTCGGCTTTTTCTTGCTCATCTTCGTCTTCGCTTTGTGGTTCATCATTTGTTTCGTCGGGAACATCAACAGATTCGGATCCTTCATCCAATCGCAGGTCATCCAAAGGCTGCACCACAGCGAGAGATGATGGGTCAGATCCTTCTGATATCGTCCAGACTTGGGCGGCATCGTCAACAGCGACAAATCCACTCTGGTTTGGTGTCGACACCAGGCTGACAATCCGGTGAGGCAAGTTGCGCACGAGAAGTGGCTCAGATTGCTCAGGATCAAAAATGCCCACTCTTGAGTAGGCACCAGCAGGGACGGCAAGAATGAAGTGGCCAGAGGCCTGGTCGACGGCCATGTTTAGAAGCGAGCTCTCCGGCCCACCCGTTGGAATTTCGATCCCATATCTCAACTCGTCACCCACAACATCGTAAACACGGAGTTGATCGGATAGAACGATGAGGAAGGTTCCCAAAGCCTTGATCGAACGCATCCTGCCGTTCCACAGCCCTTCAAGAATCTTCACAACTTCGCCAGATGCTGCATCAATAACATAGACTACACCACTATCCGTAGATTGGAAGGCTGCAAAGATGGTTGAACCATCCTCAGAGAAAGCGATTGCGCCCTGTGGCTCACTTATGCTTGTGGCGTTCACCAAGTCAACCGAGGCGTCTTGTCCAAAAACCTCTCCAACAGGAATCACCTGCGAGCAACTCCAAGTGTAGGCATCCTTGCCGTTGGCTGACTTGGCAACAATGCCGTTTTGTTGTCGTACCTTAGGGCGCCATACCCGGACCATCCCATCACTTCCAATTGTAGCGAAGCTAGACGAGACTGGGTTTGCGGCCAAGTCGAGAACTGACTCCGGTTGGCTTGTAGCATGGGGGGCATTGATTCTGGAGACTAAGGCAGCTGAGTCGTCACTCGCTCTAACTTCCCAGAACTTCAGATAGACTTCATGTCTCTCCCTGATGAACTGGTTTCTTTGGTCGTTGCTCACGTTGTCCACATCTCTCTCAGCTGGTTTCCATTCATCAACACTCGCAAGCCATCTTCCATCCGCGGAAAATGAAATGTGAGTGATGAGAGGCTCATCGATGGGGTTTCCCTTGTTCGTGATATTCACATCAGTTGGTTGTGTCCTTGCCAACGGTTGCCTATTGGCGCTTGTGAAAGACTCTAGGTCAAATGACTGTAGCAAGGGTGCTGAGAATTCTCCAGACATTGCAGCCTGTCGACCATTGCCCACACAAACATGAAGCTTGGAAGGTTCGGTGGGGCGAATGGCTGCGGGAATCGGCCGCTTAACTTGCTCTGGGGCGCTCCATACACGTTGTACGAGCAGATCTTTGGGAATAGAGACATGTGCGGATGCTGATTGTAGGCCTGATACGTAGGCAGTTGGCTTCATTTCCGCAGTTGAGAGGATCATTGCGGAGTTGTCATCCAGATGCACCACATAGGATGAGCCACTTTGGGATACAACAATATTCTCCACGCTTCCAGAAAGATGCGGCAAGAAATCTTTCTTCGACGTATCCATCTGCCACAAGACGAGGACGTTTTCTGAGCCACCGGAGATCATGTAATTGCCTAGAGAATGTTAGTCTCAGGTACGTAGTCAATATCGGTCATCAAAGCTTACCATCATGAGACCATTTGACGGAATGAACAGCCTTTCTGTGCCAGTGATACTTTTGAGCCTGTATCGTATTCTTTTCCGACTTTGATTTGCCGATTGCTTGTAACCGAGACAGCGCATCATGGTATAAATGAATAGCGCCCCTTGCTCCGCCAACAAGGATGTTGACGCGCGATTGGGAGCCCGAGTTTTGAGAGGTGACCTTCGTGTCCAGGCACGTAATTAGGTCGGGGGTATCAAAGGAGAAGAATTCATAAGAAAGTTGAGCCAAGGTTTCGATTTGCCCAGATGATATGGTTCCAATAAAGAGATGGTCGTTGATGGCACCAACCAGGATCTTGCCATTTTCGTAGGATTCTAAAAGCTGCAGCCCGAATCCGTTCTTTTTCAAGTTGAGGATGTGCTTTGATTCTTCGGGGCCTAGGTATGCCGTGATATCCAACCGATTCTGTTTATCAGATTCGACAATTAAGACAGCCTCTCGTAATTTCTTCGGAGGCCCAATCAAGACAGGAGCCAATGCTTTAGCCGTGGCGGATTTGGTTTGGAACTTCTGCTTCGGTCGGGAGGCTTGGGTCCAGTTGACGAAGTAAATGCGACCATCTGAGCAACCTACCCAGACGAAGTCCGGGTTGAGCAGAGAGAGCCTCGTCGCTGTGATGGTGGGAGGGCTTGTCGGGTTTTCGCTTTGGCTTTCCAGAGTACTGATGGAAATACGTCGAATCAGTAGCGAGGTAGAGGCCGAGTAGACCTGTATCGAGGTGTTGTATGTCAGGATGATACACCTAGTTCGGTTAGAATTGGCTTAAGCTATGCGAAACGGGGAGGACGAACTGTTCATCTGCTGTTAGAATTGGGTCAATATCTAACATCCTTCCGCCCATTGGTTTCGAGAATCTCCAGCCGGCTTCACCATCCTCAGTCTGCTGAATCAAAGAGAGGTTGTTCTTGGCGAGAATCTTGCTTTCAGATTCGCGATTCGATGTAGCCAATTGGCCATTGTTCTCGGGCAATTCGCCTTGTGCCTTGGCTTTGGAGGTACTGTTCTTCTCGTCTTTTCTATGCCGCTTTGTCTTCAAATCGAATTCGCCTGTATCCCTTTTGCGCTTCTTATTTGAGTCGTCAAGCGACTTTTGGCTCTTGGAACCAGCCATCGCAAATCAGGGCCTGGTGAATCCGTCTATTCTCTACAGACATCGACTTCTGTCGCAGAGGATGCAGCTCAAAATTTTGGTCCCGCTACCTGCCTGAGAACTTTGGCTGAGATAAGATAAGGTTTTTTTTTTTTATGGCGGGGATACTTCGGCTGCGTGCCTGGCTCCACCTTGAATTCTTTCATGCAGCGACCATCAGCATCACGTTCTTTGAGGAAAACAATCGATTTTTTGACAATACCAGCAAGCCAAAATGATTATTCCCATTCGCTGCTTCTCCTGTGGAAAGGTTCGCGATTCCCTTTCAATGACCGATACTCCGAGCTAACCTGAACCAGGTCACTGGCGACCTCTGGGAACGTTATCTGCAGCTGATCTCAGATCCCCGAAAGACTGATGGGTGAGTCTCTCCACGACTCTGCGAGAGCGACTGCGACTAACACCTATTCAGAGATGCCATGGATGAGCTCGGCCTTAAGCGCTACTGCTGCCGCCGTATGATCATGACCCACGTTGATCTTGTCGAGAAGCTCCTCAAGTACGCCTACGCCTTGACCGTCCATCCTCCACGCGACAGTAATGACTGACATTTTCCTCAGGTATACTCCGGACGGCCGAAGCGAGAAGAAACAGAGCCTGAACGACATCCAGTAATATATGCGCTCTGGGAAACACGATTATCTGATTCATGCACAAGGCGTTTTGAAGTTTACAACAGTTGGCGCATCAGGAGAAAAACAAGTTCAATTTAGAAGATCAATCAGACTTCAGTTGTCATCTATACATTCCGACCAAACAATACTCGTATATATTGAGCTCGAGCGACATGTTTCAGCTCACCCGCCATGCTTAACTGGCTTATTGAACATGCATGAGGACCGTCGAATCGAGGTTCCGCCATTTACAAGTGATGGGAGGTAGAATAGGAAGATGGTCCTTTGAGGGAAAGATGAGTGCTAGGCCATATACTTGCGACGCATACTGGAATCAGTGGGAGACGGGTGTGCTGAGTCCCGCTACGAATCCAGGTCCTCCTTGATGCGATGATATCTATCTTTCTATGGGGTTAGTGTGAAACACTGACATGCTGCGTGCCCGACTCGAGCTCTATCCTGTGTACCTTTGGATCTATTCCACCATGCGAAACCTAGAGCTTAAGATGAAGATTCGCACTCTGTTTTACGTCCATCAGGCTGGAGACTATGAAGCTAGACTGCCCCAATCTGACGTTGATATCCGCAAACTTCTTTCCTAGCAACAGAATTATAAGCATAAGATTGGTTTTAAAAAAAAAAATGTCTTACTTGCAGCATTTCACCCAAGTCATCCAAGTTCGCATGCTTCTTACGAGTAGCCAGCAGCGTTCCTCAATCATCACCCAGATACATTCATCACTCCTCTAGCACACCAAACTACGGTGAGTGATGTGTTGACCAGCTGGATTTGAAAAGCCCAAACGCAAACAAAGGGGCGCGTAAGACGCTTGGCAGAAATCTGACATGTTCAAAGCAGGAAGTTCGAAAGCAACGAGGCTCGTCACCGAAATATGTCGGCCGCCTTTATCACCGGTATTCAAGCCACTATACAGCTTCGTGAATCGGGACCAAATAGCTAATCTCTAACTGGAGGATCGACCGCATGTGCATATTCGATTGCCCCAAGAATATGATATATTGACCGCACTGTCAGATCTCAACCCAACATGCAGCCGAATAGACCAATGTCCCTTTTCTGAGTCAAATCTCTTATAAATCAACACCCACGTATTCTCAGCCGGCACAAATCTATCGTTCAGCCTCATGCTGGGTGTCGGCCGCCTCCCCACCGCCACGGACGCCATCGTGCAGTCATATAAGATTGAATTAAGATTGAATTCTTTTTTAAGCTGAGGGTGGATGAACCGCGTAATTTTCCATGACGCCGATAGGCTCTCTTGGCTCTCACCGGCTTTCGCTTGACATTGTCATCCGTCGGATAGAGTACCGAGCCTTGTCAACTAAGACAATCCCGACACTATTGGGCTGAGATCGCTTCCTCCCGCTTCAAGCTGAACAGAAGCCTCACGCCATTGGCAACATGACCCGTGAGACATTGCAGCTGGCGGCTTGCGTAAACTCAACGCCCTTGCTTTCTCATCGTGTCTTGGGCTTGGTGGTGGAAAGCGGAAAGAGTGAACTGACGTAGACGTAAAGCTATCACTTTTAGGTAAGCCTAGTCACATGCACTATCCGAGTGTAGCTACGAGCAACATGAATTGCTCATGCATAGTTAAATGAAACAGTTGTTGTCTACTCTTTCCGTCACTGGGTATGAGCTCTTCTACCTTGCTAGTTGATGAACCAAGAATAATCGCCGGTGTTTCACTGTGATGGAATACAAGCTATCATACGATTATCATGCATTAGCTCGACATTGGGACCAAAGCCTCAAGTTTCTTTTGTTCAGATGTGATGATTGCGATCCTCAGGGGAAAAAGAAAAGTGCAGCTTCCCGTCTAGAGGTCGGCCGCAACTAATACCCGCTCGCAAGCCACGGCGCAGTGCGAGATGAGATGACAAGCGGGCAGCTCGATTGACACATTTGAGACAGCGAAACAAGAACAATGGATTTTAAGTCTCATGAGTTTAAAGCCAATACGCGTGTGTGTACTTATCGATCTGTACTTTTGCTTGCAACCATTACCGTTGCTACCAGGGTGTGATCCACTGGCCGATCCTCTGTGAATAAGGGTCGTCACCCCAGCCAATGTGAGTCAAAATGTTGGCTGGCCTGTCAGATGTACCCAATTCCTCTTTGTGCAACATGAGGAGAGGGTATCAGAAAAAGAGACGGCGAGAGGGCGATATGCACACAACAAACCATGCTGGAGGGGCAGATGAGGCGGTCTCGGAGAATGGGGAGACTCGCTTCCCGCGCAAAACCTTAGCTCTGGGACAGCCAGCTGAAAAAGATCGCAGGAAAAAAAAGAAAGAAAAAAAGCAAAGTCAACATAAGGCGAGGGCGAGTCCTGGCCCAGCGGAAGTGGTGAGAAGAAGGAAAAAGGTGGAATGCCAGCAGGACTGAGCCATTCACACGATGGTTCGTGCTGCTAAGAACAATTGGGGGCGTCGCCAACGCGTGGGGCGCATGGGCTTGGGCACATGTCGGCGCTTAACCGAGAAGTCTCAGCCAACCGCCAAGTGGCTCTTCCCCACCACCCGGGGCACCAAACAGCTAAAGCAGCTACTCCCAAGTCTTGCATCTTACAAGCTTCTGCGGACACGTTAGCGGGGGGAGGAGGGACGACGTGAATGAGTGTCCATGCTCAGGTGTCGGTCAAGCCTTGCGCTTGTTGCCTTGGGGTCCTCTGCTGCGGGCTGGCCTGTCAGGAAATGACTCGTAACATCGAGCTGATTGTTGGTGCAGATGCGGAAATACAGCCGGCTGCAATCGCCAATGGAGAGCATGCCAGGTCATCCATCCTCCTCTGCCAGGCCGCAACTCTGCTTGGAGCAAAGAGGTAGGGCTCTCGATGGGTCCAATCATGCTCCGTCTGACAAGCATATGTAGACTCTGTTTACGCACGTCTGCATATGTGCTGCTTGCAAGTATGTATGTGGTGTACCAACAAGACACCACGTAGGGCTGCCCGCCGCGTGGTGACCTGACCACCTCCACGTAGAGCCGAGTTGCATCATCCATCTTGATTTGCTCACGCGTGGTTTGCAGAGGAGAAAGAACTGGACCTATGCATCGCAGACGGAATATGCCAGGAAGCCATTGGTGCATGCAACTATACCTCCGGGAAGGAGGACACTGGTCCGTCTCACGTAGCCATCACTACCTCCTGTTGGGACCGACGACATGCATGTCCATCCGTGGCATGGGTGACAGACTATCCGCCTACGGAACAAAGCACGATGCTAATGTAGCTAAAAGCCCAGGTCCAAGGTCCAGAGCCAGAGTCAGGAGATGCGCTAAAATAGACACGAAGGGATTGTCGCTCGGATCTACTGGAAGTTGCCTGGTGCTGGCCGCCAGACGAGGTCGCACATGTTCTGTCTTGCTGTGGCTGGCCGCTGCCCATGTCGCTCTTCTGACCTGACGAACCCGGCGATCTGGTCCCGGCGGTTTTGGAGCCACACAGAAGACTAGTGCACCGGCCGTCAGCCCCCGGTTCCCTGCGATGCGCTGTTACAGGTGAAGAAACAGCACCCCACTGAATAGCAGACTGGGATTCTAATTCCCATTGGATCCACTTTAGGCGCTGGACAGATGCAACTACTGTCGGCCTGCTCTAGTCTGGGACTGGACGCCGCGCTTCCCTTCTGGCAGCGCAGACGAGACCATACCAGATGGTCCAAGCCTCAGATTGCAACGGGGGAGGCACTTGCGTTTCCATGACATAGTCCTTCACACAGACGACGGTAGTGGGGGGTAAGAATTCCTTCTTTGGCTTCCGGTTGGTGCGGTGAGCCGACGAGCGTGTGCGTCGTCGTGTATGTACTATAATGGATGTAGGTGGGATACCGTCTCCCTCAGTTTGGAGATGGCTCGGCCTCGCTCACTGTAGCCGGGCAGATATCGAATTGCATTAGCCTCCATCCCAACAGCAGGATTCATGCTGGTAAGCCATACCATCTTGCTGGAACCGAAGCCGGCGAAATTGACCCTGGCGCTGCGTGCTAGTTGCCTGCACCATCACAACCAACAGCAGAAGGACTGCGTGAGTGTCCACTGGCACGCACTAGTGAAAATGACAGCTGGATTGCGATGCTAGGCCGAACACTCGTTAAGTCAATAGACACAGTGGCTGGTCTGTCTGGCCTGTTGGTTCAACTGCCATCCACTCACAACCACCATCACTTTGGGCAGATAGGTCAGTGCTGACTGGACGATCAAGACACAATCAGGTGCCTTGCCGCCCGCAGTCCTGTGTCGGTCATCTTAATTCATGCTGGAGCCTCGATGCAGTAGCATGAGCATCTGCCTGTCATCGCTTGCTGTCATTAAGTAGGTAGGTAGGAAATATAAGCCGTAGTCCAGAGTGCATCGAGCTGAACGGGAGGGCACCAACCCGAGAGAGAGAGAGAGATAGTCTCAGCAAGGATGGCGCAAGGTACCCAGCAATAGGTAAGGTACCTACCTAGCCACTATCCCTCACGGCCGACTCCTGGCAAAATCCAGGGGCAGGCTGCTAGCAATTCAGGTACTGCCTGCTATAGACGCTATCTGTTATAGGTACCTCAAGCTCGCTCCTTCCCGACCTCAGCAAAGTTGCAGCATCGAGGGAGACCCTCTTGGTAACCGAAATGATCCGAAAGGATTCGCCCATCTGAAGGGTCTCAAGCCTCGCGACCTGCTGAGATTCGATCCGTCCCACCACCTCGATGCGATTCCAGCCATGAGCCATGTACACTTTGTTCCTAATGCATGTACCGCCCGCCTGCCTGCTGTCTCCTCGCGGTAGCCACACCCTCCATTTGGGCTTCAAGGATCACGTCCCCCCCGGCAGTGGGGACCAGTCTTGAGAGGAGCGGCACAACTGCTTCATTGGCCAAGCCAACCAACAAGTCTCCAGAGCATGGCCAGGGTCATCACAACTTTCTCCATTCCCTGTCGCCTGTGAATGACTGTTAGGTCTTAGCTTAGCCGCCCACCCTGCAGAGCCTGGCTCTCTCCCCGCGCCGCTATTCCACCCACGCACGTCTTAACCGGGCTGGCTGCGCTGCAATGTGTTGTGCTGTGCTGGATTAGCCTGTGTTCAGATTCCGCTGGTTTCCTTCTGTCCTGTTGGTTGGGGCAGTAAGAGGAGAGCTGGGTCATTCTTTTCTAAAAACAAGCATCAAGCTCTTCCGAGATCCATCATCCGCGGCTGCTCATCTCTCCCTCCTTCAATTCTCTCCGTGCGCAGCTGGCTGTGAGCAATTCTGCCTGGCCAGGTTACAGCCCACCGAGCTGCTGCTGTGCTGTTGCCGTAAAAAGCAACTGGCCGCCGCGACCGAGACCTCATCCGCCCACCTCACCTCACCTCGATCCCATCCTAGCCGCGAGCGAGGCCCAAACCTGCGACCCAGCAAGCGCGCCAGGATCGGCATAGGAAACAACGACACGCTCTAGCTACCCATATAGCTAGACTTTCTAGCTATCTTCACACCTCAGTGTAACGAGCTTCATGCAAATGCCATTTCACCAGCGGCGCAGTTTCTGACCCAAGGCATTCTGTCTGACCGGCTGCTTTGCGCATCTTCAGCTGGGAACCCTTGGCCAAATTTATTTATTGGTGAATTACTTATATTTACACCATGGCTCTCGAGGCCCCTCTGCGATCCTCAACTGGAAACTTGCGCTTCCCATTCGGCTCGTTCGCAGACATGTCCGCTTCAGACAATGAGGGCTTCCGCCCCTCGAGAGTAGTGTATGACAAGAACCACGCATCATACCTTCTTCTTTCCAGGACAGTGGCTGACCTGACCAATCTCCAGTTCCTCCCCTCCACCTTCTACCGACTCTTCTACCCTTCGCCCAAGCTCCGTCAACAGAATCTCCTCCAATTCGATGCACCTCTTAAGTCCAAGCGACATTGTCGGCCCATCACCGGTGACATCGAACGGCACAGAGATAACAGAGATTGAGGACGAAGCGTCGGAAGATCTACATTACGAGCACACAAGTGAAGGGGAAAGGGGACTGGACCAACCCCGTTCAGAGGTTTGTCAGAATCTTGGTAGCCATGGCATGGCACTTATTGCTAACACTGGTTGTCTCGTAGATTCTGATGCTCAATACCTTTCTTCCAGACGCCGCAAGACAGCCCAGTGAAGAAGCGGTCTCTGTGATTCACGCCCCCGAGAGCTTCGCCAGCTGGGTGAGTGATCTCCGCAGACTAAGGGAACAGGAAGAAGTAGTTACTAATTTTCAAGACAGAAATCTTCTGAAGCGTCCTCTCAATCGAGCCAGTCTAACAGCAGAGGCTCCCCCAAGGCCAACGAGGAAGCATTGGCAGTCCTCAATGGGAGCCCGCCAGATGTGAGAAAAGAATGATGCATTCATGTCAGCGTCACAGTAAAGTTAATCTTTCTTCTAGCGCAAGGAGCAGCCGTCCAGACCCATACTCTCCACGGACGTCAAGCCTGTCAGATACAGTATTGACAGTGCCACGCCCCGAGCTCAGGATCTGCAAGATATGATGGAAGAGAACCAACGGCTGCGCTCAAGTAGCACTAGCAGTCTTGAGAGTGAGTCCTGACAACTCGGGTCCCTAGAACCACCTATTCTAACCATGTGGAAAGAAATCGATGAACAAACAGAGGCTGAAGGTGACGACGACGATGATTATTCTGTTCACAAACTGCATTATGCTCCAGAAAACCCTGAGGTTGCTGCATTGCGGACAGCTCTTCAAGAATGTTGGACCTTGTGCAACACCTTGGCAACTCTAAGCTCCATTCATCGGACTAGGGTGTTCAATAGCTCTGGTACTCCCGATGCACACGAGAGGGCATGGAGGACCTGTTGGAAACTGTGCCAGCGACTCTACGACTATAAAGATGGCGAATCAGAATCTTTAAACGTCAGAATTAGCCTTGATTTATGTCGCGATTTCTGCCAAGCCCTTTTTGATGTCAGACAGCGAAAAGATGAGGCAGCTGACTCCGTGCTGCGAGTGAGCTTCGAGCTGAATAACCAGTAAGCCAAATCCGTTGTCTCCAATGAAAATACCTGCTAACCAACATATCTGCCCAGCCTCTATAGCGCTCAGGATAGCCAGCACCTTCCAGAGGTCTTCCGGGAGAGGACTCTGGACTTCTACATCACCCTTTGCCATCGTTTAATGAGACAAAGAGGCGATACGGAAGACGAAACGGACCAGCTGCTGCGCGCATGTTGGGGTCTTGCCGAGATGCTATTCAATTTACGACAGAACAGCCGTGAAGGTCGGCCGCCTGACGAGGAACTGCTATCCTCCGCCGTACAGGCCTGTTGGGACCTCATGGAAATTTTCCGTCACGGCTGGACACAAGTTCATCCTGACCGAAACACTCCTCGCCCTACACAAACGAATTTCTTCGCTCACCAGCCAGTCGATCAAAGCGGCCGTGAGAGCCGAACATCCGTCCGTTCAGCTCATTCAAAACGTGAGAGCGTAAAGAGTGCTCGCCAAGATAATCGTGAGCGTGAGCGTGAGCAGGAGCGAGAAAAAGAACGGGAACGTGAGCGAGAGAGGGAACGTCAAAGGAACACTCTTCCGGCTTTTATTCCTGAGACTCCAGTGACTGAGTTCGAAGATACCCCAGTTTCGCCTGAGAGCAGATCACCTCAAATGCCTAACATCATGGTCTTGGGCACTTCTAGCGACAGTGGCCGCGCTGGAAGATGGTCAAGCAATGCTTCGAATTTGTCGAGTTACTCCCACGGAAGTACCAGAACTTCTAGCACAGCTACAACTACTGCCACAGCCGAAGATCCCAACATTGCTCGCGCCAAGGTGTTGGTCCTTCGTGCGGCAATGAATCTTGGCTTTAACCGTGACTCCGTCGTCGACCCCAAGTCAGGCTCTCTGGTCTTACAGAAGTTTGTCGATAGCCTACCAACTGGTGCCTTCGGGCCCCTCTCTAGCCACACAACCCTCCTACAACAATACAAGAACTCGGTCCTCACTGACACCATCATCCCGCGACATCATCCCCTACCTCCTCGAGGCAAGCGTGTCTCTGCCTATGATATGGCCAAAGCGATATTTGTTGTCAGCAAGTCCTCCCACCGATACACCTATCTCCGCGAACTCTTCAGATTCGTGTTTCAATTCTCCATTGACGAGGTTGAAACTCGAAGAAACGTCAGCATCGTCGTTTAGACAAGGAATCCGCCCAGATATTTTGACATATACCAAGTTCCCGATTACCATCCCCGCCTCCCAATAATTACATCCCATCGACAATTTATGACTACAACCTATATTTATACATATAAACAGACGCCAAAGTGCGTATTACGCTTCAAACGACTTTCGATTCTTATGAAATAATGTTTTTTTCTTTCAAGTTTTACTGAGACGAGATTTGGCACAAGTCCGTCGCAAGCGGGCGGTCTAATTTTGTGCACTTGATACCCTGGCTTTATGAATCCAGCATTAAACAGCGTGAAAAGGAAGGGTCACAGAAAAAAAAAAGAGGAGGAGAGAATGAGAGTCTATCACCGGGCTTTGACTCGTTAGGGCTTTTCTTTCGACATGTTATTTATTTGTGTTTTTCAAGAAGTTTTTTTTTTTTTTGAATGGTAGTGACGAGACCTTTCCTTGAGTATTTTCAAATGTTGATGATGACTCGAAGCAGTGTGTACTTTAAAAAAAAAACAATTCAGCAGAAATAAAAGAAGAGCGAAGGAAATAGCAAAAAGTAACACACTAAACTGGACGAATGACTGCGAAGCTCCCTATACCTGTTCCCCGAAACACTGACCAGAATGCCCAGTATGCAAAAACGCCTTTGCTCCAAAATGCGCCTTGCTCAAAAGTGTTACCCGTAGCGGTAGGTCCCAGTAACATGAACCACCCTAATGATCGTCTCAGGGTTCCTCCAACTCTGAGTCATAAACCTTGATATTGAAACTGTCGGGTTTCAAGATAGGTTGATGTTGTATCTCTATCCCAGCGACGTTGCCTTTCGTCTGCACCAATGCTCACTATATCTCAACCACCCGCTCAGTTGACTCGATGGGTGCGTCACAGTCCAGAGCGAGGAGAGTTTCGTGCAACACATCGCTTCCAACCACCCCCTCACCCCAGGACTTCATCTCCTCGTATGTGATGTTCTTCGAAGACTGGCCGGGCGATAGAGGCTGAAGAGCAACCTGGTCAAGAGGTAGCGTGTTTGATCTCGAGGCCGAGGTTTCAACCTGATGGTGGGATTTGGTGCAACGCTGATTTTCTCCATGAGTGAGGAGTTGGCTTGCACTCTCTCCTTGGGTTTTAGGTGGGTTCTGCGCCTCAACTGCAGCCTGAGATACTTCCTGCTTCCCCACCACGAGGCGCAATGCTTCGTCCCTCTGAAACATCTGATTCAGGGCAGTTTGAATATTGTTATTTCGGATAATCTCCTGCCGTCGTCTCATCTCCCTGGCTTCCAAGACTTCATTGCTTATTTCCTTACCTTTGCCCTTTCCCTTGTCCCTCTCGCCATTCTTCTCAGTAGCGTTGAGCTTGAACATCATAGCTTGAGAAGGAGTTGGCAAGAAAGGTGACGTCGAAGGAATCAAAGGGGTGGTCTGAACCGGCACAAACTCAGAAGGGGATTCTACAGATTCGAGAAGATTCGATGATCCTAGAGGTTGTGAGCTCGCCGGCAGGCTAAGAGACGGTCCTGCACCAGTAAGAGAAGGAGTCGTTTCAATAACTTCCGGGGTTGCACTAGAGCCTCCGCCGGCCTTTAGCCCGGCATGTTCAAGCTCTGAAGGAGGATAATTGGTGTATTTTGCAATGGGATCAACAGCGAAATCCAGGTTGATGTCCTCAATGCGGCCCCCGTCCTGATTCTGTGTGGTTTGTGACGGCAATAACGGTTCCGGTAAACCAGTAATAGGCTCACTCATGTCATGGACAAAGTTGCTTAAAACACCATTGTATGAGTCGGGAAACCGAGTAAGATGGGCGGCCTTTGCGATCCGGCGCGGCCTTATGCCGTGAACGTTGTATCCTATCCCAGACACATTGCGTCGTCGAGTTCGGATAGCAGATTCAGGTCGCGATGAGGGAGTAGCGGCCGTTTGACCCTTTTTCGATGAAGGTGCTCTCGGTGGGGCATCATTGGGGGGTGGGGAGGAGACGACGTTCTCTTGAATCACTTGTGAAGATCGCGGCATAGACCCGGAAGGAATTAGAAGTGGGGAATCACTTTCTGTAACCACTTGTGAAGGGGGTCGTGATACAGTACCGTGTGAGGGTCGGGTATTTGGCCCTACAGTTGGTCTTGAATAGGGGTTATGACGACGATCTCGTCTCTTAGAGGCGGCAGAGACACGACCGGGCAATGGCGAAGCTGCACTGGCCTTTGCCCACATCGAATCTGGTATTGATGGAATTCCGTACTGATTCATAGAAGTACTCTCGACAAAGCGTGGGGACTGGGTTGGGTAGTGGAACCCTTGAGGAACGGGCTCGATGCCGCCATAGTACCCTGCCAGGTGATTCGAAATGGGCATGGAGTTGTCCGGAAAGAAAACAGGAGAGCTGTGAATAGATCCAGGATAGATTTGGTGAGCTCCTTGTCCCCATCCGGTATTTGCCCCGGGCATCTGTGTGTAATATGGAAAGTGGGAGGTGGGAAGATGAACCCAACCGACGGGGGTTTGGGCTATGTTACTAGTTTCAGCTAGTCAGCAGTCACGTATTATAATATCAGAGATGACAGTCAGGAGATGCGCTTACCTCGCCTGTGCGGCTGGTATTAATGGTTGTTGGCTGAGGTCTGGCTCGGCTGGGAGGATTTGAGAGGGGGTGTTCAGATCTTGGGGCTGTTGATATGTACGGTTAACGGGTTGGAAGTAAAGCCCTTGCTCCCGTCGTTGCGCCCAACCAGGGACGAGAGACACCGGATTCTCATGACCTTTCGTGGCTGTGGGTGGGTTTGGCACAGAAGGTCCTGCCGGGATCGGATTGTGTGATGCCAGCAATTCTGGGCTCTGGGACTGCTCGCGAGGAGTGTGATTCTCTGGGGCAAGAAGCAGGGGATGATTTACCCAACCACTCTTCTCTTCTTGAGGATTATCTGAGTCTTCCAAGTCGGCTGCGTTCGCGCCGCGGTAGTTGATCATGGGACTCCTAGAGACATTCAATTAGCTAACCCGTTCCAGAAGATGGATGGGCCATGAAGGCTGTGACGGTGGGCGATAGATGCAGAGGAATGCTATGGGATCGACTGTTACTCACTTGAAGGTAGGGTCCTTTCCATATTTGTTCTTGATATATCGAATCTGATTCGGATTCAGGGTTTTGGTGAAGCGGTTGAAGAAGCCTTCGCTGATGGAAGGAAGCTTGGTTTTTCTGACGATCTCCCTGAGGACGAATCGAATCTCATCGTGTTTGTACTGAGAAATACCAGTCATTTTCTACAAGAGTCGTCGCTGCTTCGCGCTGTAAATCCTGTCTCGTCTCTTTGAATTGTGATTCGCTTCTGGCTCCTACCTTTCTCAGACCCGGGTTGTGCGCTGAAACTGAATAGCAGCGCCAAAGCAAGAAATAGAATAGGAGAATAGAAATTAGCGAATAGTGCCGGAGACGATAAGCACGTCTGAGACACACCATACAGGGGAATCTGGGCTTTATGCCGGCAACACTGAGGCCAAGTCAGGTGAGTACAAACGTCTGTGAAGCGAGGGTGAATGGGTGGCGAGTGGGTTTGGAACAAGAGAGGCCGAGCAACTGCGCTGGGGAACTGTGGTGAAGAGTAGCAGTGGGGGCAAGGAAGGCTGCGGCGTTACAGAATAAACGACACGCAATCTACAGCCTCTGCGATTCACAGACGGTTTTGTCAGGCGGTGGGCAGTGAAGCTTTTTCGTCACGAGAATGTGACGATTGGGGGAGGGCCACGAGGCGCGAGAGAATGGGAAGGCTGGTGTATACTGCAGAAGGGACAATAGCCTAAGTCTGTGTTTATGGACTTGTTCAGGTTTGATGTTTGCTTCGTGCCGAAAGCAAAGGAGGAAAACGCAAGTAGTGGGTGGTCGGCGGGTAGAGTTGACCCGGAGAAGGCCCCAGTGCGTCAACCGCCAACTGAGCATCTCAGCCATCTCAAGAGGTACCCGGTACCTGGCAGGTTTGGCAGTCTTGAATAGCTCGGGAGAGATAGCCTGGGCCAGTCGCAGCATCGGGTCCTTATGGCGGAACGTCTGGCTGGTACTTGTCGATTGTGCTCAGGGCAGCAAACAGCTTCCAGATGCCGCTGACTCAACTCGAGCCAGCCTGGGGGCATCAAATCAAGGTCAGATGATTTGTGGAAGCAGCCTCTAGATGCTTCCCAGTGCCAACAACCGGAGGTCACTGATACGGCAAAGGATTGTGGTGGGAAATCTTTACTTCTTCTCTGCTCCCTGCCTCCACGCAGCGGTACCTGTACCTCTGGCTCTTCCAGGCCTCTTCGTCTACCTGCCTCCACTAACGCTTCCCTGCCCACTTACTCGCCCCTTCCTGGTATTCACAATGGCTTAGCCTAGGTAGTACCTAGTTGGAGCGAGTAAGGTCTCTAGATATTTATCATTTGCTTCTATCCTTCTACTCTAGTCTAATGGTCTATCTCTGTCTACAAGTCTAGTAGTCTATGTTCATCTGCCTGCTCCATCATCAGCCATGATTCATTGATCAACTTCGCTCATCCGTGATCCTCCTCTCGAAAACACGCCCAACCAGCACCTCACATTACCTCCTTCTTCATCCTCAACCCAGTCATCTTGACCCGCAAGTTCGTCCTCCTCTATGCAATACAGCGGCGTGTCGAGTTCCAGCATCTCCTTTTTGAAATCTCCCAGGAGCCGCTTTGTCGTGTCATCTCGCTGAGGGACCATGACCACGGCACGCGCATCTACATCCAGGGCGAGGTTCTGCGCAATGGCAGAAGCAAGGAGTCCTGGATGCTCGTCGTCGTACAGTGGGTCCGCTGCAAGGACAATCTATAGTCGTCTGGTAAGTAAAATATAAAAGGTCGTAACCAAAACCGAGCCTGTCTCGCTCGGAAGAAGATGAAATGAGATATCTAAGAGATTATACCCACCTTGAACTGGAAGCGCTCGCCGAACAACTCCGGGTCAACCTCATCCTCACCCTTGCCTCCCCAGGTGAGGGCCCCAACCTTCAACGACCCTCCCCTTGCCTCGATGAGCGCTGTGTTCTTCTCGGCATTCTCCTCGAGATTGGGGACGATATTTGGCAAGTCGCTCAGCCAGACGGGCACTTTCCACAGTGCCGCCGCCGCCAACCCCAGAAGCCCCGTCCCAGATCCAAGTTCCAGCACATCTGGGCGTGGCTGACCGAGAGATTCGTCGAACAGCTTGAAGAGGGACGTGGACCCAAGAACGGGAAGATGCTGCGACAGCACATAAGATGATCCCCACGTCTTGAACCCGAGTGAATCGCCAGTGAGAGCCGGCTCCTTGATGATGAGATCAAAGGACTCATACGCGACCCCATCACTAACAAAGGGCCACGACCTAGTCACTTCTCCCATCGCGGTTCTCCCGCAGCGCTCAGACATGCGTTTGCTAGCACAAGTCCACAGTTGCTCCTGCTGGTCCTCATCGTCGATCCAGGCCAGTGGGCTGCTGATGACGGATGAGAGGTAGCGTGTGACCTCGCCCTTCCGCTGAGCGTTGAGAGTCTCTTGCTGCTCACGGACGACCTCGGAGCCTCGCCGCCTGTGGTTCCATATCGGAGGGCTGAGCTCCAGGCTTTGGAGGATCTCCATCAGCACGTCAAAGCTGGGACGCTGCCACATCTGTGGGAAGTCCTCGATCGCAGGCACAACCATCTTGAAAGTATGTCGAGCAGGAGCAAGGGTGGAACTATCTTGGAATCTTCTTCCCCACAGGACAGAGCCAATGCGTAATTTTAGTGTTACGGGGTTAAGTTTGGCTTGGAAGACTTCCACTAGTTATCGCAACGTGGGTGGTTTCGTGTAAGGAAATGAAGACAAAATGATGGCCGGGTTCTAGTAGAGAGAATTTTTTCTAATCTCTCGCGCTGAGGCGAAAAAATTGGTTTACACACTCATCTTGAATCAGTCGGGGGAAAGGGGCAGTCTGTGTGGTGAGGTCGGTGGTGCAACAGGAGAAATTGCCGTCGCCAGAGAATAAGGAAAAGAAACCCACCGGCAAGAACGCCCAACAGTCCAGACCGTAAGTGTGAGGCGTTTTAGTAGGGGGAGGTAAGGCTCCTAAGTCATCAAAACGGGAGCTAAGCAGGAGGCCCACCTCTCTCGTTTTTTTACTGGGCCACCAGAATGTGGGAGGTTCCGAAGAGATTCCAGGATGAGATCTCACAGGGTCCAGGCCCATGCCTAACTGGGAAGATCGGCGCCCAGCATTTCCCCTTTGTGCTCGTGCCAAATCTGGATCCTACAGCACGTCGATGCAGTGCAACCGAGATCGCATCCAATCCAACATACAGCACGCACAATTCCAGCAGGGGGAGCCGAGCGCAGCTAATGCACACAGCCGACGCGGTGGTAAAGGGAACCGATCGTCCTTGCAGTTCCCAGCGCTGCGGTCTCGCATTTTCAGCCTCTCTGGAATCATACCTGTCACAAATCAATCTGAGCCGGCTGCGCGGCGCGGATCCGGCTCGCTGCGATCTATCTGTTGATCTATTAGATGCAAGGCACATACATTGGGCGGGCGAGAGCCCAGCGCCATGACCTGTTTGATTTCTGCGCGCCCAGTTTTTGCAATCTTCGTGTCTTAGAGGATGGTGGAACATTGAGGTCATGTCAAGACGATTTATCATTCTCATTCCAATACCATTGGCAAGAGTTATACTAGCTGCTATCATCGATGTATGGCCAATTCCTCATGTCTTCTTTATCTGTCCCGACGTGGACGACAGTGTCCTTCAGTGCCATGTCCCCCATTGTACCTTCGTCGGCCAATCCGTGGTATCATTCGAAAAAAAAAAAAAGCAAAAAACAAATCCGTAAAACAAGAGGAGAAGGGGGAAATTGGGGGGGAAAGGGGTGTGGCGTAACCCCCGATGGATATATTGAATCCGAACAAAAAAGCTCCAGTTGTTTCGATGCATGCATGGCCCTGTTTTAGATTGCCCCGTTTGGCAAAAAAAAAATGCAGAAAAAAACATAATTATATAAAAATCAAAACCGTCCAACTCCAGTGCGTCCCGCCCAAAGTTCGGGCTAGGGATCGGTTGCTTTAACTCCAATCGAGAATCGTTGCGTCTCCAGACACCTCAGTGCCGAGGCGATCCATGCTTTTTGTAAATCTCCGCCTTCATCACCTGCAGGCGGCTTCGCAAATCATTCAGGCTGTCCAGCTTGTCCATGGGCGGGTTCTTGAGGTCCGCAATCTCGAAGTGCAGCGTGTAGTATTGTTGGTAGGCGGCTTCAAACTTGGCCGCCTGCGACATGACCTCCGCCGATGGTGCATGTCTCTTTGCAGCCGGGGCAACAATGACCTCTCCGTTTGCCTTGCGCTTCTTGGGAAGGCGTCGTTCGTCCTCGGAAAGCTCTGAGGCGTTGGTTGGAGGCGAAGATGCGAGCGGTGAGGACTTGACGGGCGATGTATTCTTGTTCCTTCCAGATGAAGGCGCGCTTACATCACGGTGAGCCTTTCGCACCTCAATCGGGGTGCTCTTCGTCTTCTGGCTGGGCAAAGGCTGCTTGATCTTGAGTCGCTTCGACAGGGGAGTTCCCGAGCTCGAACTTGAGTCATCGTCTGTTGGCGGTCGCTTGAGGGCAGTCCGCTGTACTGGTTCCTTTGCTGCCGTCTTAGGCTTGGGTCTGGGTAGAGGCTTCTCATCAAGTTTGGGGGTTGGCTTTGCAGCTGGCTTAGACAGAGGCTTAGGCTCAACCGGCCTTGGTCTCTCAACCACCACCGCCTCGTCACCTGATGAGTCCGAGTTCTCAATAAATTCTTGAGAGAGTGCTGGCCGTCCATTGGTCTTTGCTGCTGCTGTCTTCGACTTGGTAGGAGAGGCCTTGATAGAAGACGGCTTGGGTTTAGAAGGGTTGCTGGCTGCCCGCTTCGCGGCGGCTTGTGTACTAGCCTTCTTCTGCTTCAATGGGTTTGTTGAACGTGACATCTTCTGAGTCTTCTCGATTAATGGGTCATCGTCCTTGGAGGTTGAGCTGTCATCAGGCTTCTGCAGAGTGATCTTGGGAGGTGGGTTAGGCGGGCCTTTGGCAAGCTTCTCTTGAAGTCGGCTAAGGGATTTGCCCTTGCCTCGCTCCTCCACAGGAAGTAAGCGCTGCCATTCAGGCTCAGAGGGTGAGATTCTCTGCTTGTCGAAGATCTTGATCGCGTTCTCAATTGCGGTATTCCGTGTTTTGTCATCCTTGTACCGGTATGCATATGGGTCCAGGTCTCGCCAATATGACTGTCTAAGTTTCCAAAGGCTTCCACCACCAATAACTGCAACCTTGTCCAAAGTTGGTCGGAAATCCGCTGCTGGCCCATCAAACTTGCCCTCGAGATATGAGGTTGTCTGGTCGGATACTGCCAACTCGTGGACTAGCGTCTTGCGGAGCTGCTTCGATCGTTCCTTGGCTTGGTCGGTAGAGGACATAATCGAGAGAGGGGAGGCGTTCGGCTTCAACGAAGGAGACTGTGGCACCGAGCGAGGCGTGTTGCTGCTGCCGGTGAGGAAACTGCTCTTTGCTTTCGACCCTTTCTTTCCGGTAGGAAGTGTGTTGACAAGCACCGATCTATCATTTGTAAGCATCAAGGGAAACCAATTCTGAGGTATGTCGGGACAAGCACAAACCTGCCCTTGGCCATTTCCTGAGCCAATAGTTCCTTGCGGAGGACCTCAACATCGGATTCAACGTTTGATGAAGAGGAGGTAGTGCTGGATGTTGTCGACTTCTTTTGCTTGGGAGTAGGTTCCTGCTTCTCCTGCTGCTTCTCCTTCGTAACTTTCTCGATCCGAGTCTTGACGGCAGCCTTGCCGGCCTGTAAGAGCTTGTTCGGCTTGCTGAAAATCGACATCGTGAGCGGTAACCGATAGGCTTCTCGTGTTGATTCGAAAGGTTTGGTAAGATAGAGATCGTGGAGTTGAGACTCGGGGCGCGATATCGTGTGAGAATCCGAACCAAAGTGGAAACTCTGCAAGCTGTGTCAGTCGCTATTGTCAAGTTTGATCTCCATTGTGCATGCAGAGGATGCATTGTCCGCTATTGCTAAGGGGCCGGCTTGGGCACGGGGCTTGGGGGAAAGCCCGAGGTGAGGTGAGTCTCAAGTGAGGGAGATCTGAGTTCTGGCCAAAGGTACGCCAGGCACCATTCACTTACGGGAGTTTCTCCCAGAGCCAGGGAAATGTCACCCCCAGTCTGCACACATTTTATCATGTTCTCAATTACATTGTCGCTCAGCGAAATGGCAAATGCTTGATGGGGTAGCGAACCGGCGTCTGCGCTGGCGCTCCCCTTCAGCATGACCCCATTATCGGGGATCTTGAGAGAACTCATGTTTTCAATCGGTCTCGGGTGTTCGGTCGGGTTCGTTATTCGTAATCCGATCTCAACGCTTCGTCACGAGGTTGTCGGCTGTTGACTTGAGGTCGAGTATCTCGAGTATCATACGCGGCGGATCTCGGAATGGCGTAGGAGAAGGGTATCAGGTCGCGGCTCAATGATGAGACGCTGCAACGTTAAAACACAGTGGGAGAGGCCTAGATAAAGGAAGCTCTGCTGGAGAATTGCTATGACAAGGCAATTCGTTGTGGAACACGGTCACCAACGATTCCCGTGATTGTGTTCGTCCCTGGACGAGTGGTATGGGCGGGCAGCCCAGCTTGCTGGGCCGCTAGACAAAGGCGATTCACCCACTGCACTCGCCTATTCCGCAGTGAACAACAGGCAGGCGGGAGGGAACCGTGACAATGGCGCCAGAGAAAAGAAACAAACAATGCAGCTTCTCTCCACGCAAGACCGACAGGATGGGCTACCAACGATGAGGCAGGAAGCTCTCCATGACGGAAGAAGAACAGGGAGGAGAAAGACGGCCTAGGAAATCTGATGGATTGGACGAGCTGGGCTGGGCTGGGACAAGGCAACACACAGGCTCACCAGCGAGATGCAGACATACGACATGGATGGGGCGCTGGTGGGGACATGGGGAGCACCATTTGGGAGTCTGGGACTCTGTCGGGAGGGCGAGAATGGGTGCGGTGGGGCCTGCACAGGGCGTGTCTGGATGAAACTAGCTACCACCTAGCACCTAGGTCACCTTTCCACTGCGCGGACTGATCAGGTGTGGTGTGGCAGCGCAGCCAGGCCTCACTTCTTTAGTGCTGGTACTGCTGTAAGTAATGGCCTAGCCCCCTCGTGCCTTGGCCGAAGGTGCTGCTCCGACGTCGCCTTGGCATACAATGGCCGTGGTGTAGAGGCCTCTGGGGGCCAGGAATCACAATCTATCGGCCAGCCAGGCAGTCAACGACGTCCTCATCCTCCGGTGCTATGTTGGCTGCCAGGCGGAAAGCCCTCCGTGTGCCGTGCGCCCCGTCGTCAATCACTGCATCATGCCAGTTCACGGGGCGAGAGAAAGGCCGCCAGGGCCCTCGTGGCTCTGCCCGGTGGGTAACACCGCCTACCTGCCTACAAGCATGATTACCAAGGTTGGCTGGCGAAGGAAGGTTTGAGAAGAGTCACTGGCCGCCGTCGCCCCGGTGGAGATCGGCTCAGGGACAACAAGATTTACGAGCTGACACCAGGCACGGCGTCCGTAGAGCAGACTTACCTACGTAAATTCGTTGGTGGCTTTGCAAGTGACTTCACGCCAACATGATTTGGCTCCAAATTGA